AATGATTGAAATTTAGGACTAGCAAGGAATTTTGAAATCTTTCAACATTTTCCAATTTGATTAAAATAAAAATTGATGATAATAATTTAAACTTAAAAATCTATACACCAACCAAGTTTTGAAGCAATTTAATGGTTCAACAAGGAAAAAATTCTATCAAAAGATCAAAAATGAAATTGGAAAAAGAGGGCAACCAACATTTGAAAGGTTTTGGATCTTTTCTTTCAATTTGTGAGTTCAATTCTCCTCAAATTTTTTATACTTCTTAATTTCTTATGGATTAAAATTTAAGTGAGATTTTTTTCACAACCAATGATTTGATTAATATTTATTAGGATTTTAAAATATCTTTTGAAAGTGATTAAGATTTAGTTAAGATTTTTTATTGAATTATTTAAAATTTATTTGAAATTTAGATTTAGGATTTAGATTTCATTAATATTTTCTTAGAATTTGGTCTAAAATTTTATTTAGATTTAATCAAGATTTTATTAGGATTTTATTAAGATTTGTTTAAATTTATTAGGATTTTATTAGAATTTGATTACAAATATATGAATACTTGATTAGAATTTATCTAAGATTTATTTAGGATTTATTTAAAATTTATATATTTAATATTTCTTTAGGATTCTTTGTAATTTTATAAAATAATAATAATAATAATATTTCTTTAATATTATCATTATTTCTTTAAAGGTTTTATTTTTATATTTCTATAGGATTTCTTTACTCTTTTTTGAGATAAATTTATAAATTCTTTATATTTTTTTATTGATTTTTTTTTAATTCCTTTTAAATTGATTAAAATTTGATTAAGATTGTTAAAAATTACTTAGAATTTAATTAAGATTCTATTAGATATGGTAGGATTTTATTGTTGTATTATCTATTAATCTTTTATAACTAAGTGCCTAATATATTTTCAAGTACGAATTCACATTATACAATAATAAAAAACTATCTATGATTTCTATATAAACATATTTAGTTTATTTTATTAAATATATGATATATCTTTTAATATACTCTTCATCTAAAAAATAAGTTGATGCTTCTAAATCTACCAAAGTAGAAGCTTTGTAATCTTTAGGTTCTAAGTAAATATCTATTGTAAAACAAAGAGAGGATTTTGAAGAGAGAATAGGTCCTTTAATAGGTGTTGTATAAGGTTCTAGTCGCACCATCCTTACTATTATTGGATAAATTTGTTTCCTGACATATTATCCTCTTTGATAGCCATATTTCTCATTTTTTAGTTGTGTTTCTTCTTTGAATAATGTTAAGTAGTGTATTCAGGTTCTCCATAATGCAAACGCAATTCTTATTGACAATGTTAAATTTTTTCTTACTCAATAAGAAGTCTGAAATATACTACATCAATTTTTATGTTGTTTATTTCCAAATATATGTGTTGAGAAGGTGGTGGTGTTGCCATTAAATTCTAAAGACATTGAATTCTACTTCTACAACTTTGAGATTGAAATTCATAAAGCCAATTGTCACACTTCACAACAAAATCAATTATTTGACTCAATATTTGAAGATCATATAAGTTGAGCATTAATTTCTTTACCTTATATTATAATCCATAAAGAAGTTGATTAATAAATGTAGCATCATATCACTTGATATCAAAATTAAGCTGTTAAAATTATAAAACATATAATATTACAAATTAATTTCTTTATTGCAAAATATGAATCTTGTTGGTTGCAATACAAATTGCATCATGCTCTCTATATATAGATCAAAATTTTGCCAAAAAGACCTCTAAATTATCCAATATTGGATCTTGTTGTTCAAGAAAAGATAAAAACTATGATAATGTAGAATCTGAAAGTAGTGTTTTAATAAACTTAAATTATCATCCTAGAGTTGAATAGTTTTAGAATTGAAGTTAAATCACTAGTTGCACTTGATTGATGAATCTTTAAAATTTTGATCTTGTACCATGATCTTTTCAAATAATGCAATTCTTGATTTTTAAATACTACAATAGTATTCCACCATAAGAAAAGTAGCATGATTTGGTGGAGATATTGAAGCAACTCTAATCATCTCTATATGTTCAATTTCTCCCAATTTTGTTCCTTTTTGTGGTAGTAAATTGAGTTGATACATTGCAAGTGTTAATTTTCTTCATTGTTCTTGCATTTGTGCTATTGCATTCTTTTTTTCAATAAACTTAGCCATGAACACTAGAAAATATATATATATATATATATCTAATATTGCTCTAAATAAGTAGAAGAAAAGACTTGAGAATAAAGAAATTGCTAAAAACAATATGAGTTTAGAAGAGGATAATTTGCAACTTCTAATATGCTTATGTCTTATCAAGAAAAAGTGGTAATCTACTCTTAATCAAGAAAAGATAAAGCTTTGATATTGTATATGTATTCTTGTCAATTTATCAAAGACAAGAACTTGATGAAGCAAATAAACAAGTGAGATTTTTTTCAAAGAAAGATAATAATATAGAAATAAGAAAGTATGTATATTCAAAAGAAATTAGAATGATTATTGCTAAAGAACAAGAAAATTAAATACACTTTAAATTAAACTAAAAGCAAAAAAAGAGTCAGCAAGAGTGAAGAAGGCTTCAATCTTAACCCTATATATACTATATAACTAAAAGCTACATAATACTATTCTATAGGACCTCTAACGTATATCAAATTTGTGAGATACATGTCTTAAATTACAAGGTAAGTTTCCTATATGTGCACCATAAGCTACCAATACGTTTGACACATGGCTAATTTATTGGCCAAGTATTCAATCTATCAATCATCTTAAGACATGTATAAAGGTGAAACCACATTTGTGAAACTTCTAAGAAGTTTTTTTTACAAGATATTATTAAATTTATGTATTTTTATTTACTTCTATCTATTTATATTATTTAGATAATTATTTGCATATATATATATATATATATATATATATATACATCCATGGTACTTTGTATAATAAAAAATTAGATTTTGGATTTAGTAGTTGTCATTACAACTCTTGAGATGGCCCATGTCTACTACATATGGCCTAATTATTGCAAATTATAAGGAAAAATGATAACAATAATATGAAGAGCATATCACCAATTTCAAATTTTTAGTCATTAGGCAAATGAGTCCTCTCAATATTTTGGCTTCCAATTTGGAATTCTAATGTTATTTAATAGTGAGATGCTCCCTTACTAATGATTGCAAACAAAAGAACATATTTTTGCCTTATTTGTTCAAAACTTCAAAATTTTAAATAAATATGGATTCTTCACAAGTAAGTATTTTTTATTTTCAAAATATTTGTGATCATGAATATGGAGGTGATTTGATTGATATAATCTACTCTTCAAATAATGATCATTTTGTGGTTGAAGGACAATATTTCTTTTATTGTCTATATACATGGTCTTCAGCAAAAAATTCAAATAGATGTAGCATTTCTTTTATTATATGAATATAGAGTAGATGTACTTAGAATTTCTAAGAGGTCTTGACCTACTATTCATATAGAATACTTTATTACATCATTGTAGAGAATTGCAAACATGTCTTTCATGGATTCAAAAAAAAAATTGACCAAAATGGTGTTTGTTTTTAAATTATCCAACCAATATTATATTAACAAAAGTTAGAATTACCATAGTATGATTAATGAGCAGTTGATGCTTGGTTGTATATGTATCATCTTTTTTATTAATCAATTCTTCTAATGTGGATGAAAGTGCAATATAAGGCGTAGTCTACAATGCAACAAAAGAAAATAGGGTAAAAAATTTGCAATTCTTAAAAAGTTGAAAATGGGTGTAATAAAATTTGTACAACCTATACTCTAGGCCCCAAATGACAACTAAATAAGGAATGTTGGTGATAACTTATTACCAACAAAGATACCTTTGCTATTATCACAAAAATTAAGAGATATATTTGCTGTTATTAAGAATACATGAATATTCTTGATATTTTAGTATATTTAAGGAATATAAATAATATTTTTCTTGGATTTTTATTAACTAACAAAGGTAAAGAGAGATAAAAGAAAAATAGATGAAAAAGATAGAAAAGAAAAGTAGATAAAAGAACATAAAAAAAAATTAGATGAATAGAAGATTGAACTATTGAATTAATGCTTTTTTTACAAGGAGTATGGTTGTCTTTTTATACTTTTTGCCTAAAATTCGTTTGGTAGATATTTCTACATTAATAGTTAATTGAATGATTAAATCGATGATTAAAATTAATCAATTTTTTGTTTAAAGTCATATTAAAAATTAACAACCTTTAATAACTAATACTTTTTTTTGCAACTTATGATATTAATTAGCTTAAGGATAAGGTTGTATATCAAATTACAATTTGAATATAAATATTTTTTTGATTTAATTTATTTAGATGAAACACAATTATCTCAATATTTTTCAATAAATAGTTTCATTTACAAAAACAACTTCAGGGGTATTAAATGTGGAAATAAGGTTGGTAAATTATCTTTTATTTATTTTTTAATGAATGCATATAAACATAAAATTTTAGTAAGTAAAAAAATAAACAAAAAAAACAAACAAACAATCAGTAAACTTTGAATTCAATTAATAAGTAAATAAATAATTTTAATAAGTAAAAATATCAAAAAGTATTTATAATTTTAATAAGTAAACAAACAAAAAAATATATCAGATTATTTAATTTTATTCAAAAATACAAAAAAATGTGAAAAGGTATTTAAAAAAGGAAGAAGAAGAAAAAGAAGAAAAGATTGAAGCCACACGAATCCTGGGAGACTGTTAAAAATGTGGTTTGAAGAGTATTTATGCTAACCGTTCTCTTTTCTTTTCTTTTCTGTTCTTTTCTACATTCTGTTTTCCCATCATTTTCTTGTCTCGTTCTTTTCTTTTTGCCTTTTTATCTCTTTGTGTTCCCATTCTTGCAATGGCGTTTCCATGAGAAGCTGTGCGAATGGCAATCGACTGAACAAGACAGCTTTACAATTGCTCCGTAAAAGCTCTCTACCCTACGAAACATTTTATCGTTTGCATGTGTAGAGACGCAAATTGCAGAGTCACCTGTAATTATACTCTCTGAAAAAATAAGCTTGCCTTCGTTGCGAAATTGTCCTTTGCCAATCTACATTTACATCCTTGCAGGGATAGAAATTTGTGTTGCACGATTGTCGAACGAACGCAGAGAGAAGAAATGGCTCTCACAGCTCTAGAACTAGACCCTACTGTAGGGTGTTGTTGTTGATGCACTCTGCTCTCAATGTCGCAATGGATTTTCGACTGCCATCCGTGTTGAAGATTCGGATGCAACCATATCAGCATGCTTGAAGAGGAATTTCCAACTGTGTCTGCCGTAGTAGAAGCTTCATCACAGCTCTGCTTTGATGATCGTCGCTGACTTGTTGCCATTTTGAGCAGAGATGGCGACATTCTCAGGAGGAGGATCAACCGCACTGCAAAATTGAAGTGGAAATTTGACAGAGACATCCGCTGCTAGAACAACCGTATCCACGTCTAGGTTTTCTCTAGGACTAGTTGTTTCGTCGCCTTTGACCGTCGAAGTGTGCGTCCGAATGAGAGTTGCTTGAAATTGCGCAAGGAATGGCACAAAAGTGTGGGGACTAAGATACTGTGCGATCTTCGAATTTGCATGTCAGGTGGGACGCAAGTACGCTCTAATGGTCCGCTAAAATCGTGCCATACTGATTCCCGAGGCCCAGGAAGAGAGTGATTATCATCAGATCCATTCAAGTCGTTTCCAAAAAGACCACCTACATCGTCGAAACGGAATGAGGATGGTTGGGCCCTAGTCTTGTATCGAAAGGAGTAAGTAGCAGGGTCTTTATTAAAATGTGTTCTGCAGGGATCTGAGGAAGAGGACTCAATGGAGGTGAAGGAAGATGATGTTTCTTGATGGCCGAATGTGCTCACAGAAAAATTGCTCGTGGATGCACTTGAGTCGTAGCACCTGTCTAGGTCCTCCTTGCCGAATTCGCCCCTGTCCGCTATGTCTCGGGAAGCTTCGGATACTGAGGAAGCCGTTGAAGCACCATATTTCCTGCGGAGTCCGTGGAACATCTTAAAGATCTTTTGAACGAGTTTCATCTCAGCCAACACTGGAGGTTCTGGTCCAGAAACTTCAACCGTGGACTTCGTGCTCTTAACAGCTTTTCGAAAGCCCGGAGGAGGACGGAGGGGACTCATCCATGGGTCAGACGTAGCCGGCAGAATCACCACAGCCTCTTCAATAGGTTTTCCTGGAGCAGATTCCCATTTAAACGGAACAGCTGCATAACCACATACTTCAAACTCTTGCATCGAGAAAAATCATGTGAAAATGCGAATACTATCTCAAAATTTCCCGGAAAGTCTTACTTCGAAGCACCTGTCTGTACAGATCAATCACTAGTGAACTCTCAGTTTGACACTCCAGCCACAAAAGTACGCTCCAGCTTTACGATTCGGAGCAGTTTGTATCACTCACGGATTTGTAGCTACCACTTGCACCTGTCAGTAATGTCAAATTTGTTAGACATGTAGCATTTTGAGACCATTCAAGTTCGAAAACAAAAAGCAGTGAAGTGAAACTGAAAACGACGCTATCAAGTTTCTGAGCATTGACCCATGGAAGGCGGTATTCTGATTTTATAAGAACTTCCAGTCTCTTACGATTGTGTTTTAGCCCCACTACGAACCTCTACAATCTGAAACGGGTCTAAACAATATGAGCCAAGTATTGGATGCCTAAATCTGTGAAGTATAATAACATAACAGATACTATGTTAAAAAGCTCTTGCGCATGCATCTGAAGGATTTGTCAAAGTTGAACACCTGAATATTCGTGAGTGTAAGATTGATGTTTGTACAGAATCACACATTTGAGGTGGGAAATCTGAGCAAGCAAAGTTTACCCTGTAAGAAAGGTGCGGAGGAGAAGCGATTCTCATCTCTGTGCTCGAGATCAAAGCAAAGTACACACAAACATGGAGCAACAAGCGCTGCAAAGCAAATAAGTGCGAGGCGGAAGATATTAGAATTTCTCGAGTTTACGTAGACAAGCAAGAGCGTCTGCAACTCGCATGCAATGACTGCGGCGATGTTCAGGGCGACTGAGGCCACCCGCCGTGACTCTCGCATTATTCAGATAGCAAAGTTTGTCGTGAAATCGATGTAAAAACTAGTTTCCTACCACTACTGTGCCAGATCCCTCTTCTTTCCGCTTTTGAAGGCAGCAGCTGCAAGCTTGGTAGAATAATCGGGGACTCCTACTTACCAAAAGTGGTGCGGGATCATCCAAACCCTTTAGTCTCTCACGTTTCAGCAGTGCAGTCACCAGTGACAACAACGAAAACAGAGGGAAATTCAGTATCGTTACGAATCATGTCTATTTTAGGTGCGACGTGATTTTCCATTTGTTTGGCGGCTGCCGCACCGCACTCGCCGAGACACAAACGGCGTGACAGTAAAATTGAAACTGGAAAGTCAAGTCAAATCAATCCATCCTTGCTTTTCAACGATTAAGGCCTCTCCGCATATGTTCTGAGAACTCTTCACCGCAATAGTTTGCTAGTGTCACACTTGGCTTCGATGTTCACAAGTCACACGGCTTCGATGAATTTCGTTCCGAACCACTTGACGTCGAAGATTTTGTCCTGAATGGAATTCGTCTGCTGCAAGGTGCAACACGCAACGTCTGAAATATGTGAAGTGGTCTTTAAATCTCGATGCAAGCTTATCTAAAACCATGACCATCAGAAATATGTGTCTTATCATCCGGAGCAATTCTTCAGTAAAGCGTTTGTGTGCAGGACGCTTTGCTGCTAGGAGCCAATTTTCTTTACTTTTCTTTTCTTGTTCTCTCTCTGATGTAAACAAAAAGTATCTGCGCCGAATCGATTGGTTTGGTACTCACAAGTCTTTGCAACTGTGAACTTATTGAATCTAAAGTATTCCTCGCGACACTTTGTAAGTGTCATCTAAAGAAAGCCCGAAACATCTCTTCAAAGCCGTCGATCATCAGGCACTGAACAACACCTCACACGTAGAAGTTTGAATAAACACTTACACGACACAGTTTCATGCACAGTCTATTTTTCAGAGCGTGCTGCAGCATTTGCGATATTGTTGCATCAGTGGATAGACATTAGTGAGTAAGATGGTGGATATCTGAAAGGTTGATGGTGAAGTATGATATTGGTTGACAACATTTGTTTAACTACGCACAATCGCAGCAATGACAAGCATCTTCATGACTATACCAAGCTTGAAACCAAAAACAGGACAAACACCGCAGCGGCCATTGACACCGAAAGCTTCAGCTAATTGGAGCTTCGTGAACAGATGCGGCGCTTCAGCAAGGAATAGGAATCTAATCCTTCTTCTTACGTGCAGCAAATCAGGAACAGATGCGAGAGTCGAGAAGCCTGTGCTTGGAACTGTGACTGGTTTAGGGTTTAGGGGACCTTTGGAAATCCCGTGGAATTATATATATACATATACATACATACATATATATATATATATATATATATGTGTGTGTGTGTGTGTTAGTTATTATTATTATTATTATTATATTATGAACATTGAATAGTTGTGGTACAATATTGGAAGTAGTGTTTGTATGAAGGAAATTGAAATAGAATATTGTATCTTTTAATGTGAGACTTGTACGATTGAATAATTTACTTGTATCTTGCAAGACATTTTTACGTGAGTTGTTTCTTAACTATTCCGACCTATTATTTCTTATGATAATGTTAGAGTTCAGTACCTTCTATTATTTCTTCAACCAAAGTTTCATACATCTGGTTGCAAGTCATGTTGAACGACCTATCAAATTTCAACAATGATGTTCGTAAAAATGAGAAACTTATGATATTTTTGGATCATGTAAATAGTATGATTTTTTTTAAATGATTTAAAATTTTATTTCGCAACAATACTTTCTACCCTATTTTCTCAAAAGAATTTGACTCTCAAAGATATAAAATCAGTACTAAAAAAGTCACAATTTAACCACTGAAATATATGTATACATACCCACATATACACACATAAATCAACATTAATCTAAAAACTGAAGATGAGAAAGTAATCAGAATGAAAATCCTTGCAGATTTTTTTTCATTAAATTGACAGTATAATTCTGTTTAGACCTCGAAAGAAATACTCACACTAGAATTGATCAATTTCTCTAATCTTGCATATAACATACATTCAACGTGATCAAAACATTTGTGTCATGGAATTTTGATGAATATACGAATCATAATAAAAATCCAAATCAGATCACTTTGCTACATTTGATAACCTACTTGCAACATTTGGCATGTTACAAATTTTTAATTTTGGATTTTCCATTTGAGGTTAAATCTACAACACCCAAAAAAAATATGTAAACTCTCCTTCTTAAGTCAGATTACAGATGAAAAAACACAATATCTCAAAATTCTATTTTACTTCATGTTCAGTCAAAAAGCTCAATTTTAGCAAAAATTGATTTTAATATTAAATGTGTTTCCAGAAAAATATATATATATATATAAATTGAAAAACCTTATTTTTTTGAATATGCACCTAACATGAAATTAATTATGTTGAAGCCATTGTTAACAAACACTCTGAGAATGATCAATCAAATCGCAATCTACATAAAATGATTTATTGATAATTTCAAAATCAGTTTAGCTTCAACTTCAAGCGTGCTTCATACAAAATTTATGTTCTATTCATATATTTATATGTATCGGCTCAAAATATAATTCATTTAAATAATAATCACATAATCAAGTACTTCAATATTTTATTTTATTTTATTTTAAAGCATAAGTCAGAAAATTCTATTCTTGTATTCAGAGTTCCTTACAATATTCTAAATTGTAGTTGTAAGTGTGTGTGTGTGTGTGTATATATATATATATAAACAAATGATTTTTAGAGCGTTTATTCTTTTTTTGATTTTCTAGCTTTCTCTTCAGCATGCTTTAGATGCCGAATCTCAGTCGGCCATCCAATTGCATAAGAAAGAACAAAAACTGAAATTAACACATCATTCAGGGGTTTAATGCTTCCAGTTTTGATATACTTTTCATTGTAATTATTCAAAAAACCCCATGTTTGCTTTTCTATGAACTGTTTATTAGCACGTGCTCGTATGAAGCTTGGCACATCCTTCAATTTCATACTTGCCAATCGTTGTGAGAATACCATGATAGCTCTCTGTATTCAACCAAATAGTTTTATGTTTTATTCTTTCCTGCTCCTAAATTTTTATCAACACAACAGAAAGAGTTTTAAAAAGAAACAGAAAATAAAGATTTTCACATAGTTTTGTAATGTCACAAAACAAGTTGAAGTATAACCAACTGTTGCAATTATGTGATTTTTTGAGAAAAGGTAAGAATTCTTTTAGGTTTAGCTCCTCAGAGAGAAAATATCAAACAGTGTGAAATACTTGCAATGTTTGTTTGAAATATGTAAATATATATATATATATATATATATATTTGTTTTTTTCTTTTTTCTTTTTTTTATTTATGAATCAACGTGTTATTGTGTATATTAACGTTAAAAGATCTCCTAAGAATATGTAAGTTACACACATCCAGTTTCATATAGATCAATATTCAGTTTTATCTCCAAATAAATGAATCAAATTTACAAGTTGGGGTTCAGGACAATCAAACTCTCCTCATTATTTCAATTCACCAGTTTCTGAACAAGCTTTGTGCAATTTGATTTTAAAGTGGCTGTTAAAGAACTAACCATTTGATCCCTTACACATGCAGACATTTCATGTGTTTATTATATTATAATCTATTGAGTGAAAATTATTATAAATTTAATTTTACTTTTAAACAACATTAAGATAACAACAAAGATTTAGATTGGTTCACATGATCAAAAAATAAAAATAAAAATAAATCATACATATTAATAATAGAATCTAAATCAATTTTTGATTAGACTTGTACCTCATATTCAAATTTTATCTGTACATGTATATATTTATTTACTTCTGTACATATTTTTGGACATATACATACATACATACATACATACATACATACATACATATATATATATATATATATATAGAGAGAGAGAGAGAGAGAGAGAGAGAGAGAAATTTTCATCATATTAAATACTGTTAGAATATAAACTTTTGCACTCTATCTAGTTTAGGCAAATATTTTTCTTTTCTTTTCTTTTCTTAATTTTTTATAACCAAGTTATTTGGGAGCTTCAAAACTAAGGAATTTTGCTTGTATTGTCTTAGTAAATTTATACTGTAGGTTTTAGGTGTTCTTTGAAACCAAAACTACATAATTGTACAGCATGCTTTGAAAACATCCTAGTAGCACTCTATATATAGCAATTGCAGCATAGCTGCAAATGTTGGTGGTTTTTGTAATAAGATTGTGTTGATGACATACAACACTTGGGTTGTGGATCATCTCTCACACCCAATATGTTTTCATTTCATCTCTGATAGTTTTTATTTATTTTTTAAACACTTTAATCACTTTGGGTTATTTGAAAGTAATAGTAACAAAGTGGTTTTTATTTTTTGTTGCTTATTGATGGTGTTAGTGTTGGGAATTCTTGAGTTTGATTGCGGTAATGACAAACCAAAAATATACACTATAAATTGTTTGTGACATAACAGATAAGGAAGACCTGACTTATTAAAAATAAATAAAAATAAAAATAAAACCCAGTCCAAAGAATTGGTTTGTCAAGATGACATTATGAACAAATTACACTTCAGAAGCAGAAGGGTTCTTCATTCAATTTCTCAATCCATACTTTATATGGAAAAATAGACCAATGCATAATGCCTAATAATAAAAAAAAATAAATAAAAAAAATAAAAAAACATCCCTAAACCAACCCAACTACACAATGTGTCACCCTGTGGATCTAAAATAAAAAAATACATAGGCAGTAGTTGAAAGGCAGTTTGAAGGGAAATAGAAACAAATTTGATTTTACTTGCCTCAACCATGTTAGTGGTGCAAGAGAATGATGGATCATGAATAGAAGATTAGGGCTTGTTATGTTTTCTAAAAACAAAGCACAAATTGTAAATAAAATAAAAGGTAGACAGTATAGCACAAGAAAGCGGAGAGATTTTAATACCAATGACAGTTGCAATCCTTTTTTTCACTGGAGTTTGCTGCTTTCTATCTTAAAATGAAATTCACAGAATGGCAGTTGGGAAACACCAATTATTTGAATATTACAATGCAATGATGAATTTAAAAGATACTCCACTCTAACTTTTCCCATCCCCTAAAAACTCTAAGAAAAGGCATACTTTGTATCTTATTATTCATATACAGTGCACATTTATAAAACAATAAAAATAAAAAAAATAAATCATAAAATCATGTTTCTCACATTGAATAAAACAATTCACAAGCCACACATCCCAATTTGATCATTTTTCAAATTTTCTCACTATTAAATAATTTAAAAAAAATGAGAAGTGGAAAATAAAAACTTTGTATGATTAGGATTGTTAATCATCTATGGCACGTAAAAAAGTTGCATTGTTTGCCATGAAACATATGAAAACCTTACACCATATTTCTTGACATATCAAACTTTTATCTCCTGAGTTTTATACATGGTGTTGGTGATGGTGATGTCCCCACAATTATTGCTATTGCCACCATAACTTATTTTTACTAAAATTTTAAATATGACTTATTTTAATTTTTTAAAATAAAAAATAAAAATATATTAGAGATGTGAATAGATTTTTTTGATTGGAATTAAAAAAATTAAAATTAAAAAGAAGTCCAAGTGGATGACAGATTGTGACAATAGTAGTAAGAATTGTGAAGGCATTAACAATACCTTTTTATACATACATATACATATACATATATATATACACACACATACATAACATCATATTCTATAATCATAATTTAACTTATTTATTTATTAAGGAGAGATTGGTTTAACCGCGTTTGCTTGACAAATGATCTCCCAACAAGTTGTCAGACCTGGTCCTGTACCGAATCAGCGGCCCCATCGACGAAGGTTCGACTCTCCTACTCCTGGCACCCACACACTATGACTAAAGTTCTGAACTGAAATACGCATTAATTAGATACGACAAGATAGAAGATAATCAGAGTACAAAACCCCCCAAATGACGCCACGTCGGATAAAGTAAGGGCGGTGGATAGATGAATGAATGAATAGATATCTCATATAAAGAACGAATAGATGGTTGGATGGACGAATGAAGGGGTGGATGAGCGGACGAACAGATGGACGATGGATGATGTGTCTCGTGTCTTGGAATGAGAGCATGGGCATAGGCAGGCACGAAGGAAGGAAGGAGGTGTGATGCTCATAAGCGCATATCACCATCAACATCACCATCAGCAAGCATGCATGCGTGATGCATGAAACCCTAGAGTCGTTTTCCCCTCAGCATTGGGGAAGGAAGGAGGGGCCTTTCTCTTTCGCACCACCAAAACCCCCATCGCCATCGTAATCGCATTCTATCGCATTCCATCGTCGTCCCCTTCTCCGCTCCTCCTCCCTGGTCCTCCATCTCCGTCTCCTTTTTACCTCGTACCCTTGTGCTTCTCGCTTCCTCTGTTGGTGTCAAGCTCGGCCAGGAATTCTTAGGTTATGTGTGTAAGCCAATTCGGTGCTTTCGCAGGAGCGAGATTGGGCGATCTTGAAGGGAATGGGAGAGGGGAGCGACAGCGGGAGTGGAGAGTGCGTTTGATGTTCTCTTTGTTTTGAGTTGCGTGGGCGTAGTGGGAAGAAGATAAGAAGGCGCTTCAAGAGGGTTGGCGGAGCGCTGCTTTTGTGTTTTCTTTTTGTTTTGTTTTGTTGTGATTTTCCCAAGTTGGCGAGAAAGCATGGTGGAGGAGGCGTGAAGGGATACTTTCTGCAGGAACGGGTTGTGGCGCAGGGAGAAGAGGAAAGAGTTGTGAGGGGTTGAAGACGGAGAGGGCGCGTTGGGGGGATTGTTGGATGCGATGTCTGCCGCGGTTTGCGGAAAGCGGTCGCTTTTTGAGGATTTGCGCAGCTCGCCACCAATTTCTAAGCGCCTGAGGTTTGCTCAGGGAAATTCGCCGATCTGGTTTGCTAGTGCAACTTCATCGCCACCTTCGGGTAGTAGCCCGTCCTTCGAGCCTCGCCTTGAGGCGGGCTTGCTCCTCTCACAACTCCATGCCCTGTTTCCCGATATGGAAGAACAAGCGGTGGAGAAGGTTTTGGAGGCTTCTAACAACGACCTAGATTATGCTATTAAGAGCCTGAATCTGTTGCGCTTGTATTCATCACAACAAGCGACCCCACCACATCCTGACGAGAAGGATGCTTCTGGCTCGAGTCCTTCGTTATCTTCATTCCCAAGCCGCCTAGACGAGGGTCGCTCGCAGCAAGTGCAACAACAAGAAGCCGAATACACTAATTCAACTGTTCAGTCAGAGGGGGTTAAATGGGTGGAGCTTTTAGTCACGCAAATGCAGAATGCAAGTGATTTGGATGACGCCCGCGCAAGGGCTATGTGTACCCTAGAGGGGTTTGAAAAAGCTGTTTTATCCCGCTCTGCAGCCATCATCGATGACATTCAGAAGGAGAACGTGGCCCTGAAGGAACATAATCGTGGGCTGATTCATGACAACCAGATCCTCAAAAGAGCTGTTGCTATTCAACACGAGCGGCACCAAGATCACGAAGGCCGTGTCCTGGAGCTTCAGCATGTGAAACAACTTCTTACTCAGTACCAAGAACAAGTACGAACTCTGGAGTTGAACAATTATTCGCTTACAATGCATCTTCGGCAGGCACAAGAAGGAAGTTCCATGCCAGGACGCTTTCACCCGGATGTATTCTAAGCTTATTCTTTCTAGTGCTGATACTCCATGGTCTCGTTTCGCAATTCAATTAAGAAGGTTTCGGACACTAAAATGCATGTACTCTTATTTTCTTGGATTTTTTAAATTTCCAAGTAGTTCCTAGTTTGTGGACGGCACTGTTAAGCAGCTGAACATCCCCACAGAACTTCACTCAACAACCAGGTGATAGCTACGATTGCGCTGCATTGAAGCGACATTGTGATTTGGTCCATCCTGTGGAAGCTTGTGTTCACTGAATTTGAGGAGGATATATTCCCTGAATTTGAAGAGAGTACTCTTATAGCCCATTCTACGCATGTAGGTTTGAACCATGCATGCTGAAGGACAGGAATTACGGCAAGATCTTGAGCTGCTTTAATGACCGATCGAACGGCAATGTAATATATACTATATTTTCCAGCATGAAACCTGTTCATGGGAGTACTTTCAAATAGGGGTTAAGTTCATGACTCATATTAGTTGAGTCAGAGAGAAAGAGCCCGAGCTTCGATGGCTTGTGCATGTCCTCTCTCTTCCCACATTGAAAGCTTGTGGGAAGTCTGCAAGTAACGTTGTCAAAAAAAAGAACATATATAATAAAGGTATATTTGTACTTAATATTTTACATTTAATACTATGATCTTTAAGAATTAGTAACAATGTAATGATCTATTTCTGTTTGAGCACCCAAACACATTTATGGAACTTCTACAATTTGACAAGATATTGGACTTTTGAGCATCGAAGCAGATATTTGGACTAACGTAGATAGTAATTTATTTTTGCCCTCTTTTTACAACTATGCATAATTAATTTGTATTCAAAATTTCTATATTTACTATTATTGTATAACAAAATTTTAATTAAATAAAAAATAAATCTATTTAAATAACTATTAATAATGTGTGTATATATATTTTATATATATATAGAAAGAGAAATGATAAAGTAACTCAAATTTTTACTAAATCAACCCACATGTCTAAACCATCATTGGACCCTTTTAGCCTTGTCTCCATTCCCAGTTGTTCCTCATTTCTACCCCTACCCCTACCCTTAGCTTCACCCCTTTGTTCCCATCCTTGTTTTGGCAACATCATTGAGTATAAATCTAATCAATCCATTTTTGTTACAATCCAAATGGCAAGCAACTTTGTTTTCTTCTACGATCATCTTGTAATTGTTGCAATCCGTGCATAGCTTAAATTAGATGTTATTGTAGCCATCGCAAGCTTTCTCAATCTGAACTACAAGGAAATTCTTAAGTAGGTCACTTAGTTTGCCATCCTTGTACAACTTCTGCACTTCATTTGATCCACTAATATATCTGCCTTTGATGAAGAGCCTAGATATGATGATAAGCCCATTGAGCAGATTCCTAAGCTATTGACAAAAGTTAGTATGTGTAGAAATGTCACGCTTATTGACCCACATAGAGTAACTTTGCAAAATCATGTGCAAATTGTAGCAATCTTCAAATATTTTTTGAATGCTATACAAGATCATGCATAAACTATGGCATTCTTTAAATGTTTTTTTGAATAATGCGTAGGGATGTTAAGTAGAGCATGACACAATCCTTGCCCCTTGGAAGACATTTCTCCTTGTATTTGAAGAGCAAGTCAAGGTTGATATAAGGCCAAAGATGACATGTGGTTACTATTTTTATTTTTGGTGCATTTACAAGGCCATGAGGGCTGTATTCAAAAGCTTTTGTCATCTTTACTGATGACCTTACATAAACTTTTTTAAAATTTGCAAACAATTTTACTTCATTCTTCTGAAATTTGCTCATGACAAGTATCTTATCCAATCTAGAGAGATTTAAAAGGAAGGAGGTGTTTTCTCTCCTCAACTTGATGATTATGGACTCTACATCAAAAATATATCTTTTGATATCAACAGGCTTGTAATTCCCTTGAAAAAGACGTCAAAAGTAGCATCGTCTATTGATACCAAGATCATGACTTCTTTTAATCAAAGTTCCAAATTTGGAAGTGTGTGTACTCGAAATTCCTCAACTAGCAACGTCAACAAACTTTATATTACAAAGGAGATGGATTTGGTATGGCCTATACCTATACCAGTCAACAAATCTAGTTCTTCTTCTAAAGGGAAAGCTTTTATAGGTGATGAAGAAGAAATTAATTTTGAGATTCAAGAAATGCCAAGACAAGATGAGGATTCTAATGAAGCACTCTTATATCTTGTAATAATAGCCTTATACTTCTCCTGCTCACATTGTTGTAACTTTCTCTATTGACTAGGAGTCTTAAATTATGGACATTTATTTTGTGATTATTATATAGTGGTTGGCAATGATGATTTGATAAGTTATCCTTCATGTAAAGCAAAGCATCTTAAATTGTTTCTACAAGTATGTCTAAAGCTTCATTATTATATAGATAAGATTTTTCCACTAGAGTATGCTCGTTACTTTGTTCAAGTTACTAAAGAAAAACAAGAACAATCAAAGAACATATCACAATTGTTGATGTTTACAAACCATGAAGTCTCAATGAAAGTAGGTTGAGAACAAGGAGAATGGGAAGAACAGAAATGACAATTGGAAACGTGGGAACAATTGGGAATAGGGATGGAGACTAAAATGATGTAATAATAGATAAGATAGAATGAATCACTTTAATATAAATCTATGTATCTTTAGTAAAAATCTAGGTTGCATTAGTATTTCATTATATATATCAAAATTTTAATGATCAAATATTTTTTATCTTAATATATTAAATAAAGCTCACTTATTATTTTTAGTAAAAATTATTTATTTCTACTGAGTTTTTGACAAAACCTATTCATATAAGTTCCGGAATTTTAATTCATGAATTTTATACCTAAGTTCTAATATCTTAAGTCAAAACTAACTTAGAGTTGGTATGTAATCAATTTGTGTATCATTGTTTATATGGTTTTTTCCTTGCTTAATATGCCTTATTGAATCAAGTTAGCCAAGCAATTTATTGAAATAAGCAAACTTCCTTCTAGCAATAAGAAATGTTTCCAACAAAAAATTGAACATTTTTTTTATTACAACTTTATAAATCCAAAAAATGTAAATTAAGCTAGTGGATTCATTGACAATAATGTTTGAGAATTTAAAAATAAGATTGAATTATTTTAATACAAAAGATGTTATGTAAAAAAAAGGTTTTATTTTTAATAATATATTTTATATATGAAAAGTAATTAATATGAAGTTATATATATATATAAATTAGATATTAGAAATTACTAACTTATTTTACTAAATATATATTATAACAATGATTTCTTTGATTCTATTTATAAAAACTCTATTAAAAGATAATAAAAGATAATATGTTTTTAGAATTAGAATTATATTTCTATTATGTTTGAAATTATCTAAAAAAACAAAATAATTATCTAAAACTTTTAATGCTTTAAATATATTAATTACTAAATATAATACTAAAAATATTTTTTGAAGCTTATAAGTAAATTTTGGTGACATGCATATAATAGTTAAAGACTAGCTACAATGGTAGAAAAAATCTTTAAAAAAGATATAAGTTTTTACTACTAATATAGTTATAAGTTTTTTTTAAATAATTTTGAAAGGTATTCTTTATTTTTATTTTTATTTTGAAGACCATGTAATATCAAATGTTTTAGATTTTTTAATAATTAGTAAAAATAAAAAGATATTATAACATTTTAAAGTCAATTTATTTACTTTTTGAAACCAAATGAATATAATTATATTAAAATTACATATAAAAAAATAATGGCCAAAATAAAGCAATTGCAATCATCATGCATTCTTTTAAGTTTTGAAAGTATTATTGCTTTTATTAAAAGAACATGTTTGTCTATGCTTATCTATAAATGCATGCTTATAATTTAAAAGTCATGCCTTGGTTACATATAATATGATATCAATGAGATCATTTCATTGCTTAAAAATTCCTAAACTTATATAATTGGATGTTATAATTAGTTTTTTATAAAATAAATACATCTTATATGTTTTAAAAAAAATTAATTGAATTATAAAACCAAATTATTATATATATATAAAATTTAACAAAGCCATGATGCAACTTTTTAAAAGTGCTACTCATTTCTATAAAAAAATCTTTAATTTTTCTTTAAAATAATTTTTTACTCATATAACCTGTTGTTTATTTAAGAATCATAACAAAGACATAATCAATATTATTGTTAAATACTAACATTTAATTCAAGAATTCTTAGTATAATATTTAAAAATTTAATAGTTGATCTATATGATATTTTTATTTCAAAAACTTTTTATAAAATATTTAACAAGCTTAAACAATCAAATTTGTATGGTAATTTGCAACTATAATATGAAACCAATAGAGTTTAAAATAAATGATTTATTATTTTTGAAATTATTATTATCTATTTTGAAGTGAATGATTTATATAAAATTAAGTTTTAATATAACTTTTTTCATATTTTTATTATTAAAGGATTTCTGTACATAAGAGAGAACATGAGAGGCTTCAACTTCTAAATTTTGTGATTGGTTCAAATTAAAAAGCCTCACTTAACAAGCTTTATATTTGGAAATATCATCCAAAACATTATGAGAGGAAAAACAAGGAAAGATATATATTTTTCCCTATTTGGTATAAAGATCATTGATCTTTAGAATGTACAAATAACATATTTTTAAAATATGGTTTCAACAAAAAAAATTAAAAAATACATCATAAATTGCCAAATTTATATTTTAAATTATTATTATATTTTTTTTATAAATTTTAGAATCAAGAAATGAAGTGGTCATATTTAGTGATATAACAATGTATAAATAAAATAGAATATTAAATCAACCCATATGATTCTTAAATTGACCCATCTTACTTTCATGATTCGAACTTTTTATCTACTTTTCTAATTTAGGAACATGAAAATGTGTTAACTCATTCATTTGATTTTGTTTTGATTTCTTGAAAAATTCAAGGATGCAACAACCATATTTTATAGCATAAGGGGAATTATGGGCCTCCAGGAGGATACGGGCTTTGCTACCGACTCATATCACCAAATCACCGCCACCGACACACCATTCTGATCGTCCGCAACAACGATTCCTGGAAGCCTCGGGAACAGCTCCCAGGGGACCTGGTTCTCATGGATGGGAACATCGTCCTTTTCGAGACTGGATCGGAAATCTCGCATGGCCGTTGCTATTCAATTAATCCCCAGCTCACTCTCTCTCACTACACTTTACACCCAGCCCTCCATTTAGGGTTTCGATTTTGTTTTTCGTTTTGCGACCTCGTTTTGCCGATCTCGTGTTCAGTAAAATCCTTGGAGCAAATTCTAAGCTGCGGCATAATTCGGGAGTTTTCGTAGCCGAGCTCGCGTCATTGCCAATTTTGGAGGGGTTCGACCTCGAAGCGCAGCTGAGGTTTCTCTGATCTTCTGTCTACGAGGGTGAATGTTGTATACATTTGACGGCGAATTTGCGGCAGCCAAGGGTGTCAGTCATCAGGTACGTTGTCGCATTATTCAGTGGTTGGATGCACTTTTTGTGGACATGCTGAGCTTTGTCGAGGCTTTTTGTTTCTATTGTGACGTACCTCCTCTTGTTTGTTTGGTAGTGATACACATTGACGACTTATGAGGGAGGTGTAGGCTGTGTTGCCCTAGTTTCGCAATCAGTTTCTGTACTCTTTGCTCTGTGGTGCAAGGTAGAGTCTCGACGGGAGTATCATTTGGAATGCCTCGTCAGGATGGGTTGTTTTGAATTCTGACCGCAGTCTCCCGCGAGACTCTCGAGGTTGGGGTTATTGGCTGAAAATTGTTTCTTACGACGTTGTGAAATACTTGTTACGTGGGTTGATGAGTCCGCAGAGGTGTGGGTGTTAAAGGGTTTACTTACGAAAGGTTTATCTCATGAACAGGAGGCAAGCAGAGCAGAGCTCAGGTCCTGTGTCTCCATACCGCCCCCTCTCTTCCTTTAGAGCGGGGTTGAATTAAGAACGCAGTTATAATATGAATACTCCAGGCACAGTCCCACGGAGCACAATGAAAGGGAGGTCACAATCACTTTTTTACCGGGATTTATCGGCAACCCCTGTCACTAGAGCTCCAGCATCTCGTAGAGATCTTGGTACACCAGGGCAAGTTGCTGCTGTAGCAGCATTATGGCGCGAAAACGTCGGGGGGATGGATCCACCTCCCCCTCCTATGTTCACTTTGGAGGACAGAGTTGAGAGATCTGTCGATGCTGCACCCGTGGCTGACCAAACATACAGGAGTCTCGAGTCTATGAAGTACACAGAGGGTCGGTCTCCGGTTAGGACCCCATCTAGCAGTGAGCAAAGAGATTATAACAGCTACAATTACCCTGATCCAATCATGGGCAGTCCCATGTTTTCTGCATCTCCCCCAACTCCACCCCAGAATGACTCAATAGGTAGCCCAATTTGGTGGTCAGCTTCGAAAGATCGCAGCACACACGAAGGTGTCCTAGGGAGAACTGGAGAAAAAGACGGAAGTAGTCCCGTTTCTGGGGTTGTGCAACCACCGCAGCAGAAACTGGGAGGTTTGCTCGCTTTAGAACCTCCTCGAGATATTGTCCGACCCGAGGTCCTGCTTTCTGGTTGCGCCGCCGATGCTATGGAGGGCGATGAGTGGGTGACGGTTTTTGGGTACCATTCCGTCTTTATCCTATTGCAGGCTGCTAAACCGCATAATTTATTTTCACATAATCGCATATACGAGTGAAGGCACTCTTGTTAACAGTTTTCTCAAGTTTGAAAATATTTTTATTTGGAAGATTAGCGGCGACTAATCTCTGGTTCCTTTGAAAATATTTTTATTCAGCATTTACCCGGTGACCATATTTTGAATCCGGTCTCATTTTGAAGTACAGTGCCCAAATGGGACATTTTGTTGTGAACCTACGCACAAAGCTTCGGGTTTCTGAAACCGAGGCTGGTTCTCCTATTGCAGATTCGGAGCAGCAGAAACAAACACTGTCATGAGAGAGTTCGAGAAATGTGGGCCTATCGTGGATCACGTCTCTGGACCTGGTGGAGCAAATTGGATACACATTCAGTATCAGGTCAGTCTCTACTTCTAAATTGATTTGGAGGATTGTTATCTCGCTCAACTACTTCCCTCAGCTATTGTATTATACCAGTATAATGCGGAACATATTGCCCTAGTCTGGCTTTCCTGTGGGCAGTAACTGAACGGGTCTGCTTGATTACACTGCTTCTCATGTTTTCTTCTACTTCAAATTTTCAAGGCTGCAACGCTTTGTTAAGTTTTGGTGTAGGCAGCCTGTGTGTTATGTCTCTAGGCTCAACCTTCTAGAGATGGCCCATCTGCGATTGAAGGGTGGTTGTTTGTTGTCACAGAACCGATATGATGCCAAGAAGGCGCTGCTGAAGGATGGGATGTTGCTGAATGGCTCTCTTATTGTTGGTGTGAAGTCTTTGGACCTGGCACAACGGCAAATTCTAACTAGTAGGCAAGAGCACCCAGCATCCATGATCCTTCCTCCTCGATCAACTGGTTGGGGGGCGGCAAATGCCAGCGGGCAAGTGTCCCAGCGCCCTTATTATGTGCAGCGGACAGAAAATGGATCCCGGTCGTCTGGTGTGCTTGCCATGCCAGAAAAATCGACTGTCACCAAATTCGTTGAGTTTGTATTTGGTATGTAATGGAGGTAAAAGTAGATGAAGTAGCATATTGGGAACTTAAAGATTATTTGTTCACGTTTTAAAATAGTCTAGGAGAAGTCCACTCTTGTTGACTGCTCTGTGTGTGAGCTATTTTAAAGGTTAAAGTGTGAAAATCACATATTCCACTCATTACTGTCTACACACATTCAAATACGTTTCTTATTGCTCCACCTTATCTTAACTATCTACTATTAATAGAATACATATATAAATTTACTTAGTAGTACCCAAGTTTCACTTATCTCCCCATGGATGTCACAATAGTATAACAATGTAGCAATAATCCTAATTCGATAACATTCCAGCCTAAATTTGTCATGCTTTTGCCATGGCTTGCATTTTGGAATAATTAATGAAAATGGAAATGGAAATAATGTGTTTTTGCAGACCTAAAATTTCCAACAAGTAATTGCTTAATTAAAATATGAAGGTCGTAGATGCCTTAATTAGATCTGTTAGGTCTGCTAAAACACCCTTAGATTGGACTTGCAAATGAACTCCAAAGCCTGGTCAAACACTTCACCCCTCTCAATTTAAAAGCACCGTTTGTAGCAGAAACGTTTCCTCGCTCATTGTTTGCCTGCAGCACAAAGCCCATAACAAGAGTTGAGAGCAAGCACCTCGGAGGACAAAGACAGAGAACCGGAATGAGGGCTTAGTAGGACTGAGATGGGGACTGGAAAGTATGCTTGCAAAGCTGGAGAATAATAACGTCGAAAAACGTCCTTGTAGCGCAGCTCTTTCATTATTACCAATTTTTTTAATCAGAATTGCCAGCCAATAGTGTGTAGCTGTTGCACTTCAATTCTGTCGAATAGATAACGTTTCTCGTGTAGTAGATACGGCTCCACGCTGAAAGAAAGCCCCAAGTACAGTCAGACATGCAAAAGATAATCAGAATCACTTCTAGGTTTTTTGAGTGTCTCAAATTACAAGATGGCTGAGGATCGTAACGCCTCGAACACAGAGCGTCGGATGAAAGGAACAAAAAACTGTCTGAAATGATCTCAAATTACCAGTAACGCGTCAAAAATCCATAGTACATGTCAACTCTCATTTATCTGGAATACAATCAAGTCTACTTGAGAACTGTCACCGCATGAACTCAAAACTATTGATGCATTGAAATCTCCAGCTGAAGTAATTATCACAGGGGCATGCATTGTTGATGTGCTACTCAGCAGCATTAAAATAGATGGTGCACATGGTGCCATTTGAAGTGTTGCGGCACACCGAGTAACACAGGTGCTCTGCACGGCTTTGAGAGACTGCAGAAAGTGAAGTTGCAGTTGTCTGCAATACAATCCTCACCTAGCTTAAAACAGAAGTAGCAGTAGGCAGAGGATTAGCTGACCCTTAAGGAATAGCACCAAGGACAATAGTTTGATATGATGACATATCAAGATGCCAGTACGTCCTCAAAACGTGTCTCAGAAGCATTTGTGCCTCACTTGAAAGGAAGTGTACATTCCACCCATTGAAGTGGTTCCAAGCTGATTGAACCCCTCCGAAGCAGACTTGTAAGCCATTGACGGTGGTTGGCGTATCAAGTCCCTGAAGATCTATCAAGCCCATTTTCTAGAAGCTGCAAACGCTTTTCAAATGATTCCAATGTCTTGCACAGAGATGACTCGATGCGTGTACAAACAGTTTCAAGTCTTTCGAGACGCTGGCATACATCCTCTAGGGAAACCTCGGTTTTTACAGGTGGGAGTGAATTTGGAGGAGAAGAATGTGGTTCTGTCTTCAATGCCAACGCACGCATAGCGAGCTCCGCATGAGGTAAAGTTCCACGTTGTTGAGATTGAAACATATGAGCAAAACCTTGTACACCAGGATCACCACTGGATGCCATTTTATTCATCATGTCAGGCATTGAAAAGCCTTTTGCCATTTGCAACATGAATGGGGTCAATGATCCAAGTGAGGGTGCTGGATTCCCTCCACCAATCGCTGCCTGTTCTGGAACAGAAACTTGACGCGACCCTCCAGCCAGAAAGGGACCAGGAGAGGCCACAATAAGAATATGCTGAACGATTACTTGAGACTTATCTTGAAGAGAAAGTAATCGGATCGTTACTGATTTGCAAAATCCTGGATCTTCCACATTCATTCCAGCTCTGTACAAATATGGTTTCTCTTCATTGGTCTCCAATTGCCCTCGGGCGGTACAGAGATATTCTGCATCAGTCTCTCCCTCATTTTGACGATACGCTTCACAAGTCCTGGCTGTGCTCAGCACCTCCATGTTGTAAATAGCGTGCTGTTGCTGCTGAAAAGTAACTGCAGCACTTGAAATTTACAAGATGTAATGCAATCGATCATTATTCTATAACGAAGTTCTTAACAAAGGTCTGAATCCGCAAACTGTCTCCAGTTCAGTCACACCAAAATGAATAGACCAATCCAAAGCAGAAAATTGTAGTCCAAATCAGTGTAAGCTAGCGACAATACGTCAATGCTGTCAACCTCACTAACTCATCACAGCTACAGCATCGAAACTAGGTACTGGGAATTTCAATGCAGGATTGCCCATCGAAAAGAGAACACACCCGCTGATCATTCACAAAATTTTAACTCCAGGCTGAAATGAATACCCTGAAACTCATCATCGTGCCATTTTCTCTTTTCTTCTTCTAATTCCTAAAAACCAAGTTACCTCTCGGACATAACTAATCAAAGGAAACCAACAAATTAAAAGATCGCACCAAGTATGTCATCAGAGCTCCCACCACCAAGAAAAGTGCGAGAAGATCAACGAACGCATTCGCATCTATTTCGCACCCGTGAAACAAGACAGAATCATCACCTGTTATTTCACAAGACTGCTTCTCGGGGCCAGGAACAAGACGGATGCGCACATTCCCCATGCCTCCAGCACCGTCGTCACTGCTGTGGACGTCGCGAATCGTGACATGTCGCGATAGATGCGATGCTTCTGGTCCGTCCGCGATGGACCAGGTGCTACAAATTTCCCATCGTGGCGACGCCATCGCCAATTCTCGAAGAACAGACCACTTGTGCTCCTCGACATGGACACTCGTGAGCAGAACCCTAATTCTCGCAATCATGCATAATTCCGAACATTCATCATATGGTATGTGTTTCGGAATGAAAGGTAACATTAACCGGGTATCAATCTAAATGCCGGATATCTTTGTCCTTCAGCACCCGCGTCGTCTCCAATACTGCTGTAGTTGCTGTTGTTGAGAAATCGTTTCAGCTAGGATTTAGGGTTTAGTGCAGCGGCCGTGGTGAACCCGGCCGTCCTTTGACTGCAGAGTCGAAATTTTGCACTACTCTCTTCCGATCAGTCACTGTGTCGCACTTGTGTTTCGATCTTTCTGTTGTTAGTAGTGCTTTTCTTCTATTCTGAGATTGTAAGCATAGAAAGTAGTCATGGCGGACGCATCCTCAGGTGAACATGAGCCGGAGTTGCCGCCTCACTTGGAGCTTCAGCGCACTAGAGTTGTGTGTGCCCCCGACGCACCTTCTTATGTAAGATTTTCCCACCCTCGTGTTTTTCTCTGCTCGTATAATCACTCACATTTGTATAAGAGGATTGGTGTTCTTCGATGGATTGAGAAGTGCTTCTCACAATTTGGCTACTTAAGTCTCCTCCTAGTCTTAAGAATGGTGCCCTGTTGGAGATAGTATCGATATGATATTAAGCGGAAAAATGTTCAAGAGTCGATGGTGTCTTGCTTCTCTCGCGGAAGTTGGAGAGAGGGGTTTAGTAGGAATTGGCACGCGAGGTTCTCGTACTGGAAGATTTCGATGGTCTAGGGATTATGTCGAGGACTAAAGACTAGTTAACAGGGTGTGACGCATAATATGAGTAATAATTCCGCACGAAATTGAGCAATGTATGATTTCAGCAGTTAGGGATGCAGGCTAATTCGTCCTTGGGGGCTGTCATAATATAGACGAGATTAGATATTTTATCAAGGCAGTTTGCTTTCCCATTCCTATGTTCTTTGTGCATGTGCGTTGTTTAGGGTTTAGGGTTTATGGTTTAGCGCGTGGTTGCTCGATGATCCTGTTTCTCAATGATTCTAACATAATGTGCCTTCTTAAACAGACAGAATCTGTGCAGTATTCCGGGGCATATATGGCATATGGCGTGGACAACAGCTTACGGATTGAGGATTTCTGCAAGAACCTGCGAGTGGAAATCATTTCCATGAATGAGGAGGATATTGAGTTTGATATAGTCGGGATTGATGCCGCCATTGCCAATGCATTCCGGAGAATTCTTATTGCTGAGGTACCACTAGTTTCCTGTAATCAGAGGTAGAATCCTCATCAGGCAACCTGGGGTTTGTTGGTGTGGTTAAAGCATTCATTCATTTTTCCTATCTTTTCACCAGGTAGCGTCTGGGTTAGGTTTCACCGCACACGTATAAATTTCAAGTCAGATTTGCCAGAGATTAATGCAGATGATTACAAAGAACGATTTCGGAACCCACTCTTGTATTGAGAGAGTCCAATTTTTTCTTATGTTGGATATCTCAAACTGTGTCCAATGTCTGATGGAGGTCAAAGGGATTCTGTATCTCATTGCATTCAAGACTCCAGCGAATTGTGTAACTAAGACACGCCGATCTGAAGAGGAAATTGAATACTAGGTGTGTTGTTTGTATTGTTGGTGTATTTGCAGGTCCCTACGATGGCAATTGAGAAGGTTTACATTGCAAATAACACATCCGTTATTCAAGACGAGGTTCTTGCTCATCGTCTTGGGTTGCTACCAATCAAGGCGGACCCACGGCTTTTCGATTACAAGAGTGGTAATTTTGACAGTCTTCGACTCCATTTTGAGCTTGTCGTCTTATGGGAGATCTAAACTGACGCTGACGATGTGTTCTAATGATGCATTCTGCCTGGATAATTGCAGAAGAGGAGAATGCTAATGAGAAAAACACAATAGTCTTTAAGATTGATGTTGTGTGCACTCGAAAAGGGGAGCGAGTTCTCAATAGTTCAGGTTAGCCCCCCATCACTACCTTTTAAGATCATGTTAACCGCTCTAAGAAGGGGGAACAAAGGAAATCTTTGTAGAGTCTCCGTCTCTGTCAAGTTCCGTGTTCTTGCAAAGAATTTAATTGTTTTGAGGATTGCAATAGGAGGAATACTTCATCCCGAGATATAATGGCGACTCTGGTCATTTGAATGAACGAAGCATGAGTAGGTATTAATCTTTATCCTTCAAGGTAGATTGACACTCTTGAGCTGCGTTGCCTTTTCCATAGTGCTCTGAACCTCAGCTCTGTTGAGTGCGTCTAAAGTCTTCTACTAAGTTATTAAAGTCTTTCACGAGGATCGTGATTGTGGATGGAACTTCAAAGCGTGGTGGTGTTCCATGTCTTTGCAGTGACGTCGGATCAGATGAAATGGTTGCCTGAAGGTAGTGAAATGCCCTTCAATACCATGACAAAATTTACCTCATTTGGGTCTAGTCAAAAAAACTTGCCTGGATTACCTGCGGAAGGCATTTCTTGTCAGTACCCTGATATTATCGTGGCCAAACTCAGGCCAGGCCAGGTATGAGTTGTTATCTCTCTTCTACTAATATGGTCATAGCTTTGTTACTTCTAGTGACATCACGTGCCATGAAAGTCACAATTTAAACTTTTACTTACTGCTGCTTCGAACCTGGTAACCTTACCTTTTGGTATGATACTCCGACCGGCAAGCTGTCGCCATTAGACCGTGAAAAGAATAATTTTTCTGACGAATAGAGTAGAGAGTGTCTTTTGTACCTCTCAAGCACCAGATGTTGATGTGCACATGGCTTAATTACAACCATGGTTTTTACTTCGTTTTTTGTTCCTGTAAGAGGTGAGATACGTGGTTTAGCTGTATTGTGTAAAATCTAGCTTGAGATCTCATCTGAGAGAGAAGGCGAAGTTGGAGCTTATCACTTAGACATTAATGGATATTTTGTTTTGATCTATAGGCCATAGAGCTTGAAGGGCATGCAATAAAAGGTTCTGGCAATATTCATGCAAAGTGGTCGCCTGTTGCTACTGCCCGATACAGGATGCTTCCAGAGGTACTAACTTTGCATAATCGATTCTAAGTACCTTACTTTTGTTCCTCTCACGTTTTATCAGGCACCTTTTACCGCCTACTCGTTTTATGTTTTTAAAATTCTTTTATTCTATTCTATTTTATCTTGATCTTAGTTTCTGAAGGTTTGTTCTCTTCTTTATATTTGATGAGCAAGTGTCTGACATTCTGCATACTTGGGGTAAACAGGTAAACCTAATGGAAGACATTCAAGGAAAGCTTGCTGAAGAACTTGTTCAGAAATGTCCTACTGGAGTTTTCGACATTGAAGATGTTGGTACAGGTACTATTTCCTTTTCGAAAGACTTGATTGCAATATTTTTCATGCGACCCCTTTACTATCTTCAATCTGCACTTATTCATTGTAATATTGTACATCTAGGCTGGTAATGGCCGTTTTGGACTCTGTACATAACTGCCGTTACAGACTCTGTTAATTGTCTTTTGCAGTCAAGAAGGCCATTGTGGCAAGACCAAGGAACTGCACGCTGTGTCGCGAGTGTGTAAGGGGAACTGATTGGGATAAGCGAGTGCAACTTACTCGAGTTAAAGACCATTTTATATGTGAGTTGGTTTTGGGAACTTAAAAGTGGATGAACTAAAGCAGGTCTTGTGTGTTATAATTGCTTGATGTGTTCAGCTTTCATTGATACCTTACTTCCTGTCTCACAAAATTAATCTTGACCTTGAGATGCCTTTTATATAAACTATCTCCACTTCTGTGTATCAGGTCTGTCTGGTCGGTCCTTGTTCTTCATTAGAATTTCGATATTGTGAGACATGCGCTGGGACTGAATTGAGCAATGAGATATTAGGAGTTGACACGTGGAAGAATAGTTCTGAAAGACTCGTTTATCTGAAGATATATGAAAGTTATGATTACCTTGGTCACATGACATTAGTATTTCAGTAAAAGCACATTTGTTTCGTACATTATCTGATCATTTTTCATCTGTTTGTATTGTGGATGCAGTTACTATTGAATCCACTGGAGCACTACGACCTGAGGTTCTTTTCACAGAGGCTATCAAAATCCTCAATGAAAAATGTCACAGGATTATTACAGAACTTTCATAGAACTTTTACTGTAGCCTATAGGTCTCATCTTTTGGATCTTATCCTCAGGCTTCAGTCTGGAAATCCTGGAGAGTAACGACAGCGCAGTCAATGCATTTGAGATGTGGATTTTGCCAGACACCATGTACGCTTGAATTTGGGAAGACAGGTGAATTGTTCATAGTAAGACCTCTAAACAAGAACTGGAGATCTACATTCAAGTGAACTTGAGACATCTGATATTTCTGTTGTAATCTCTACCTCACTAGGAAGGTTACGAAAGCACCATTGAGTTGGAGCCAACAATAGATGTAGACATAGAATGCTTTACTTCTCAACCATATGCAAGGTTTGTTGAAGAATCCGGCTATAGTCTTTGTTTGTTGCTGGTATGATTTTTGACCTGTCATTGAGTGAATTCATTTATCATCTAAATGAACATCCTGTTGCTATCGTTCCTGTTGCATGTATGCGTCTTTTTCGTCGAATACCTATCTGTCACTAGAAAGCACTTTTCACAATGAGAACATCAATGAAACTACGCATCTGTTGATATGTTAATGATGGACATTTTTTTTATTTTTTTTATAGTTAAACTCGTGTAGTAGCAGATTTAATTAGTGTGATTTTCTGTCTTTAATTTTTTACAAAGAAGTGATATGTCACATTCATTTCAGTGCATCTTTTTGGATGTTGATGACTATTCATTGTGTGATGGAAGTCTCATATAAAATTAGTGTATTATACTTTGTTTCCAGTTGAATTGTCCAATTATTGTGAATTTGTTTTAAGGATACTTTAGCACATATGTTTCCAATACCAAATCAAGTCAAATTATAACAAAATAGTAACCATCATAATTATATCCACAGTCCAAGTTGGTTGCTGTAGCTAACTTTAAATTTTATTTTTCAAAGCAATTGAACTTGATAAAAGCTCAAAACATTTACAAATTATAGTCCAAACTACCATTCCAATCTTCAATACTTCTATTTTCCAAACAAAAGAAACTGTTTTAATGGCTTAACTAGCACATGAGATTTTTTTCATAAATATCTTTACAAACACATTTGCATCCATTATTTTTTGTTACTTAACACATTATACATATTATTTTTTCTTCACTACTTTCTCAAATAAAATGGTATTGTTCAAAAAAGTATTATGCACAAACATGAGGCAAAGAATCTTTTAAATGCAATGCAACTTTTATTGTCACACATAATACGTGTTGCCTCTATTTCTTCAAAACACATTTGTTATAATATGTTTAAGACAAATAGCATCTATACATATTGCTATTGTTGTAGAATATACTACCAAAAATATTCTATCACATTAGGTGAAATACTTTCAATTAAGTAGAGATTTTTCAAATAATTTTGTTGCAAGTTTCACCAATTTTGATGTTTGCAATAAGAAGAGTACCAATGGATTTGCATTCTAACATGTTCAAGTCTCTAAGCATCTCTCTAATATACTTAGGTTAGCTCATGGTGATAGTTTATTCTATAAAGTTTCTTAAATTCAATTCTAAATTAAATATATATATATATATATATTTATTTATTTATTTATTTATTTTTGAATTTCTCAATTCATTTTTTTTTCAAGATTTTAAGGTACAACATTTTTCTTTTCTTGTCTTTTGTTTGTTGGAATGATTATACTATTTGCTAAAATTGTTATATAGTTTGCTAAAACTCTAAAATCAACAAATTATATATATATGTATAATACACAAAGAAAGATTTATTCTATTTTTTATAAAATATTAATAATAACTATTTTTGTTAGTATATAAATATTATGATTTTTTTAAAAAAACCAAATCACACAACAATTTTTTAATCTATAGAAATGGAGTTTTGGCTTTCTTCAACAAAATACTTAGATAAGTTCATATACATATTTTTTCCTAATTTTGCATCTAAAGAATCTATTTTAGTATACATTTGATTCATCATCAAGTCCACAGCTTCATTAATTGCAAGAATATTTATAATAATAAAAAATTAACAAAATTATAATATATATATATATATATATATATGTATATATATTCTTTTGTATCTATTCTTAGTGAATAGTCTTTTATTACTATTTTTGCATTGTATTTCACAATTGTACCACATACATCTTTCTTGGCACAATTTTTTTTTTTTTTTTAATATTATTGTAATTTTTTAGGTCTTAACTTTTATATTTGTATTTATATTTTTATAAACAACTTTTATTTCTCTTTTAGTACTTTCTCTCATTCACTTGCATCTAAACATTGCATAGTTTTATGCAATATTAATCCATTAATATCCATTAGTAAATGAGATTTTGATTGTAAATTTTTTATCTACTTTTAAAAAATTAATATTTTTTAATCATTCTTAAAAGGGTCTCCAATCCCTTATAGAATATTAATAGTTGTTTTTTTTTTTTTTTTTTTTTTTTTTTTTTTTTTTTTTTTTACCTACTAGTGATTTGATTTCATATAAGTTTTTTGTATAATGTGTAATAAGTTAACATGTTTGTAATATTGACAATGCTTAGTGATTAATAACTATTTTTTATTCATAATTGTGAAGGTATATTGTAGATTCATCAATACATAGGTTTACAACATAATTACCAATATACAAAAAAATTTGTAATTAATCTAGCTACTACAATGTATATATATGACTTTTTACAACAATTCATTTATTGGATCTATTTGAATTTAAGTTCTTACATAAGAATAAAATAAAAGAAATTGTTAGATAATTTAGAGAAGAAAAAATTATATAAGATGTCAATTTTTTATACTAAATTGAAAAGCTTCTTGAAACTAATCCAATGCTTAGCTTATGAAGATGTTGGTGAAGAAAAATTCTATTTCTATTCTTTTTGTATAATAGGTATTAATAAGAATCACCTTCTACAAACCAAAATTTAAGATACTCTTATGGCTTGGTTCAATAAATGTATATTAATCAAATAAAGATATTAATATAAATATAAAAATATTATTCTTATATGATTTATTAGATCTACTAAAAGATTATATAGTCTATTCTATGTAGAAGAATGAGTTCCTATCTATCTTGTTTCTATTGATCTTCAAATCAAGAATATTATATCCTAAGAAATTACAAGTAGAATTTAGAGCATTTTTAGAAGAAAGTATAAGAATGGTAAATTTTAGTATCAAGTTTATTTTTAAAACTATTATTTTCTTCAATAAGACACTGCATATAAGAATACATTGTTATAATGGAATAAACAATCATGATATATCATAAAGTTGTAAAAATAATTTATTATTTTAACAAAAGATTAAAGTATAGCATTATATCATTACAAAAGTTAAATCACCAAGTAGATTTCATCCATAATATAACCAAAAAAGTGCTTACAAAGTTAAGAACAATTAGAAAATATGAAGTTGGTATTATGATTGAGATTCCTAAATAATAAGACATTTTTCAATTATGATTGTGGCAAATAAGATATGTCATATTGTTTCATGAAGTTCAATAATTATAATACATATGTGTTATTTTTAATAGATTTATAATATATTTAAATTAATTCTAGTTATATAATTATTAATTTTAGATAAATATTTAATTAAATTAAAAAATTAATTAATATAACTATCTAGATTAATAATATATGTTAGTACAAAAAACAAAAATAAAAACAAAAAAAACAAAACAAAACTTATTGTTTAGTGGATCTAAGGTTTAATCTTTGATATTTTACATATAAGTGAGTCCAAAATTTAATATATCAAAAGGTTCTCTTGAAATTTGGCTTTGATTTGGAAATGGCTTGTTGATCACTCTATATTATTATTAGATGGTAATTTTTCTTGTTAAATATTGATCTATAAGTACTAATCTAAAAATAATTCTTACTATGACAAAGTTGGCATCTTATAGTCAAAATTCATGTTAGGAGGAATTTTGCACCTACAATTGATTTGAATTAGTCTGCATATAAATCAACTTTAATATAGATTGTAAGAATAGGACTTAGATAATAGAAATAAAATAGAAGAGATAAATTAGTGATTTGGAATGTGGCCTATATTTACAATTAATTTATACAAAAATCTTATATTAACAACAACAATAACAATTTGGCCTTATATTTAGTGCTTGATACTATACATCTCTCTCATAATCATCAACTTTAATGGTTACTTATCTTACTTTGATTAATTATTGGTGGCTAGTTATCTTTTTTTTAGCACCTATATACTTTCTTAACTTAATTTGTTCTAACTGAGACTTTAGAATGTTTGATTCTTACTCAGTTGGATATCTCTCATTTGCTTTCTATTATCCAAACCCTATTAGTTCAATTTGTAGATAGATCAAATGTCTCCAAGATATCTTCTACTCTCTAGATTTTATTTGTTTAGATTTGCTTATTAGATTAATTTTTAAAATTATACTTAGTTAATTAAGCCAATTAACAATTATCTTTATTTGAAGTGGTTTTGAAATTTGATTGAATAATAAAAATAGAAAGCTTAAGGCAATTAAGATATTTATAGATGCAAATTGCCTAACATGCCAACTTTCTTTTTAAAATGAATTTCTTTGGCACAAATGAGCTTTAATTGTACTTAAGATAATGTAATCAAGTTTTTTCCTTCTTACAAAGCAAAAGATATTCTTAATCATGAGCCATTCACATTACTCCTAATTTTGGTTTTACCTCATTTTAATCACACAAGACTATACATGATTTAAATTTATGATTACATTTTCTTTGCAACTCTTTTCTTTGAATACTTCTTAGATTCAAAATTTGAAAGCTTTTCAATTATATAATCTAGAATGAGTGCTTGCTCATCTTCAATCATCACACACTATGTGTTTTATCTTTTTCAATCCTATTTTTGTTTGATTGCACATACTTGTGCAATACATTTTGCTTCACATCATAAATGCATAACTTCAAACTAATAAATTTATATTAAGTTATGAATTTATCAGTTTTTTATAGCCAAGGATTTTGATTCAATCATAGGGATGAAACACATTGTTTTGGCATTCCCATCTTGCACCAAAAGAGAAAGATATTGCATATAATTAATAATAGATTGTTCATAAACATACAGTCAGTCAGTCGTATGTTTCAGCATCGAGATCACTGAAGGCAATGGCAGCTTGGAAAAGCAATGGCAAACCAGCATGCAGACTGTTAAGAGTGTAAGCTCAAGTGCATGTGTTCGCTTTCTTTTCCGCTTCACGCTCACTGTCAAGTTTTCTGTTTGTGGGTTCCAATTTGACCCACCTCTCGACAAGTTAAGTCCGCTCTGAGGGACATCCCCGGCCACAATATCAAACCAGCGATCAGGAAACTTACTACCTTGATTGTGACAACCTTCAAAATCCATGTCACTGGCGGACGAAGTAGAAGTTGTTTGTGGCACTGGAGGTGGTATGGATCTTAGATCTCGCATAGTAGCACTCAATATTAGTGCATTCTCCCTTTTATCCAATTCCCTGTGATTTGTCTTCAAATCCTCAGCTCCTCCCACTGCAAATTCATCATCTCCTGTAGCACCGCTGAAATTGATTCTATACCTTTCGACACTACTCTATCAGCTACCTGATATAACGCGTAAAACCATCGATGGCAATACCTTCCGACCATCGAAGACGAAGTTTCTCAACCAAGATCAGCAACACTATCAAGTGCAGCCATAAAGGAACATACGACACTTTCTTTTGTTCTTCTTATTGCTACATGGGTTCGAATAAAAAACCAACTCATGTTTCACATGCAACAAGTGTAGTTTTCAAACTGGTTAGCACCAAAAAATGGACAAGTTGAATGACGAATCGAAAAGTTGCAAGGTGAATCACATCCATCAGAGAATCTATACCTATAACCGGAAAAAGAGTGGAATCGTTTCAAAACAAAAAACTTAGCCCGCTTATTAAGAGCTAGTTCAAGCAGTGGCATGAAATGGGGATAAAAGCTTGTAGTTGGTTTACAGGGAGCAGAGTTCTCCAGCCTTTTCATAGCTTTTACTGCTTTGAAGTGAGGTTGATGGCACAAAGATATGCCCCTCCACATAGTTCCCATCCTGCAGTGTGCAACAATAAATATCTTCAAAATACTTTGAAAACCTTGGTTCCATTCAGCTCCAGTATGCACATGCTGGAGATGACAATCGTATTCATAAACACTCTTATTCAACTTAGTGTTTTGAAACTGATGTCTATACGTTGCATGGAAAACATTCTACCAACCCTTTGAGCAACTCCAAAAGTTGTGGATACAGTTCCTGCTCCCTTAGCTTCTGCACCTGTTGTGCGGCACCATCTACAGCTTGAATAGCTACCATCATTCGTACTTGAAGGGCCCTGGTACTCTCCCCAGTTTTGTCAATGTTAATATGATCCTCATTTCTGGCATCTTGATTTTTGAACAAATAATACTTTTTCTGTAAGTCGATTCTCAGAGCCTCCGGATTTCGAAAACCCCATAAACATCTTGTTTAGAAATATGGGTCAGTTGTGTACTCAAATCTCAATAAGGCTTCCACCTCCAAAACTACTGCAAGTCGATTAATGAATCTGATATTTCTGGTGTAACATACACACCTTAACCTCTGAGAAAAGCTTTGTTTCCCATATGGGAAGGGACCACGCTGGTTACAAGGGAGGAGGGCCTAATGACAGGGCAGGTGTTCTGGAAGTCATTTGTGTTTCCAGAAGACGCATCATATTCAAAAAATTAATTTGACACAGGTTTGCAAAGAATTGAAGGCTGAGATATTATGGAGCCGTAGGATATAAATAGATAAGGATACATCAGATACGTCCAGGGCTCCCAGTGTGCTCACTGAAAAGTAAGCAAAATGTGGGCCAAAGGGAACGACGAAAGCAAGATGGTAACCAGACGAATCCGTGGGTGTGGTTGATTGAACATTTGAACTAACAGGGTCACTCCAAATTGGGGTCCGCAATAAGAAACTGCAAATAATGGGAGAATCATACACGCATTGGCTCATGAGAATCCTGTGCATTTCGAGGACTTGGCAACAACAGCGTATTTTTCCGTTATGTTCTAAAGACTTTCAACTTCGAAAACTCACTCGTACAATGATGCATGACGAAAAGATGTTACTGTAATCTCTACACCAAATAATGTTAACAAGTGCATCGGACAACACCGCTATTTCTCAATACTGAAACTAATAGTAATATAAAAAGGGAAATTAGCTGAGTACACCTGGCGCATACATCAAGGATCCTGATGTTCACTCTTTGCTGTATAATCTGACCCCGCAATCCGATTAACGAACATCGCACTCGCTAAACAAAGAATTTTGAATAAGGGAAATACTGGTCGCATAACAAAAGGCCAATCTCGTGAACTTTGTGCACCCACGTTAGATGGAGCTTCCGCTACCAACGGGTCCTTGCCTGTGAGAAGGCTGCAAACCAAGAGATCTTGCCCTTCTCTCTTGCTCCCTTTGGATCAAAGCCTCAGCATCTCTCAAGATTTTATTACGTTTCTGCTCCTCTTCCTGAGCAGCAATTCTAACCGCCGATGCGAAAGTAAAAATCGTTTTGGCTGAGTTGTGCCTGTTTGAGTAATCAGATAAATGGAACAATTTTAAAATCTTATTATAGGTAGAAAATGAATGAAGTTTCAGTTTCCTGTCTACCGACCACGAAGATATCAAACAAATCGCTAGTTGTACACATCTTATAATGATGATGACTATTATTATTATTAAAAGAAAGAAAAAGAAAGAAAGAAAGAAAAAAACCAAACAATCAAACAAAATTCTTTAGCTTCAAAGACGACGATATGTATTGTGAGTAGGCGGGAATTACTGCAACTCGTGATTTCTTTCTCCTGTGCCCCCCAATGACACAATTCGTCCTACGGCTTCCTTGCAAAGTGCTTCAAAAAGTTGCCAGTCAGCCCCTTGTTCCTGCAATTGCAAATCCACCAAACCCAAGGTTCTCAGTAAAATATTTACAGCACATCACAATGGCCATACAGATGCTCAACAAACCGTAAAACCGGATCTGCAGTCAAACCGTATTTCGTTAGGGTGATAGGTAAATTAAACCTTTAGACTAAAACTGAACACAAGAAAGATTGCGAACTGTGGGAGCATTTCAAGACGTTCGCTATTAGAATTATGCTGCTCGTACAAGTTCCATTCCATTCATGGTGCAAGGGTTTATGGATACAAATTATGCTCACCAGCGACGATGAAGGACAGGAGACCATACCTCTACGCACAAAAGTGCTGCATAGTAGAAGTCATGCACCATCAAATCCCTGTCATAATGGTCCTTGCACATCCTGGTCAAGTTGATATACTCTTTCAATTCTTTCAGTATTGAATTATTTTGGAAATCTCCATACCTCATAGCTTCATCGCTCATGGAACCTCCGAGAACCAAGACCATATCTAGCGGCACTGCACTTCTCTCACCATCAATCTGCAATAAATGCGCGATAAGGACTCAGTGAGTAATGGCCAGTTCAGTCTTGAGTTCATAACAATGGCGTTTATGTTACCCCAATACACTCGCAAGATAATTAGGCATCTCCACAACATCACCTTAAATACAAGGAACTTAAAAAATCATGACAAGATGTTTCTTGAAGGACTACTGACCAGCCTCTTCGCAGTTTGCTTCGAGACAAGGATGACTTCATGAGTATACCCAGCCCGGGAGAGAAAATCAAGTCTCTGCAAAGCTGCAAAAATACAAGTTGACCAATTCGATTGAGACCATTGATCCAGTTCCCTTACTTAAGCTTTATACTCTTCTGGTCGACTCCTCACAAAAAGAGCATATCAAGAAAAATTTAAATGGTTCAGATACCCACCGAAGAACTCCTAGTCACTCATGAAATGCCTCGTCTACTCGTTATATACCAGTATGTAGAACATCACCTTGAAACAGAATCTCCCTAGGAGAAACTCCTTTCTTCCTAAGCTCCGCGATCACATCAGCCTCGTGCTTGGTGGCGTACTGCTTACGCACCTTACTTAAACCCCCAGATACCGCCGCTATGCCTTGCTTGGTTGCGTTTTTCATCAAACCGAGCCCTATGAGCGCTATCGCTCCGGCTGCATCCGCCTTACGCATCTCGAATCTCTTTACACCAACCTAAAAAATGCTTCGACACCAAAACAGAAGTCACGCAATTTCTTGTGCTCAATTCCCAACTATGAAACTTAGAATTACAATTTAACTATGGAGATGCAGACTGCAAGATCTGTCGCTGCTGTAATATACCCTTTAAGTATCATTTACTAGCAACAACGCGCAACGACGAGCAACGACGAGCAAAGATCTCGAGCGCTGCTGCCTTGTATCCGCAACAACACGATTATCGAAACAGATTCGGCGAATTGAAGAATGCGATGTGGATGCACAAATCATGAAAACACACCCACGCCTTGGTGAATTATGGCAACAATACGCAAATCCATATCTGTCACAAATCATCCTCATGTTAAAAATAATTTAATATATATATATATATATATATATATATATATTGATGAAAGATAGTGAACAAAAAACCCGATCAGTTAAAACAGAATGCAACAACGCGTAATACATACCTAAGGAGTTCGCATCATGCGCGTAAGAACCGAAGCTCAAAATGCTAGCGCAGGAGAAAATGAGCACTAAAATCACAAATGGCCTAAATTTCCAGAAGATTAAAATGGTTCGAAAGCTAGAATCCTGCCTTCAAGTACTGTCTACGAGAAAAAGGAAACACGGCTCAAAAAACACTTCCATGGTGGTATTGAGAGAGAGTAAGAAATGGAACCGCATATGAACTTCGCACCTAATTCGACATAGTTGACCATGAGAAATGTGCCAAGAAGAGTAGTATTCTCCGTGAGTGATGAGAGAGCTCTTGGCTGCTCCTCCTCCTCCTTGGACAATAAATAAACTTAATCCCCCATTCTAATGTAGTGTATTCGTTTACAGCATAATTTTCATGCCGTCTCCATATCCAACGATCGTATACCTTTGCTGATGAATACTTCGGAAATTTGGAGGATGGATGAAAACGTTGGCGGATGAATCTTTGGATGTTTGTATGGATGGATACGTGGGGTGGAAGGATGTCTTGATGGATGGGAGTGTTGGTCGAGTGATGAACGATTAGTCACGTTTGCTCACTCATCCATCCAACCCCAACTTCTGCTCTAAACTTGTCCTTCCCAAGCTAGAAGTAGTAGTAAGTGAAGTTTATATATATATTGCATATTTTTAAATCGAAAAAAAGGAGGGTTTATTATAATGAATTATGCATTCAGTCTTTGTTTTATTTATTTTTTTATATGCCTATATCTTTATTTCTTTTTTAATATTTTAGTTAACTAGTATCCATCAACTTAGATTACTTTCAGGGTTTTCTTGTCTTGTGTAGAGAGTTAAAATTTTAATCTTTTAACATTTCAAACTAAATATTTTTAGTTTTTAATTTTTAATTTTTATTTTATATATAAATATATATATATATATATATATATATATATATAACTTATACATAATACAATGTTAATGAACCAAAGTTTAGTTATTTTACAATTTATATTTAAAAAAATTAAAAATTATAATTTCATTAAAAAAGTGTCATTAAAATATAAAATAATAAAATTAAATATTTTTCATTTTTAAAAATAAAAATAAAAGTAAAAAATATTACATGGATATATATAGTACTTAAATATAGATATAATTTTTTATCCTTCTTCAATACTTAGAATTAATATTGTTATAATTATATAATTTATTTTAATTTCTTTTCAGCTGTTAAATAGTATGTTTTCTAGAATAAAATAAAATATATTAAATAGTAATTGCTTATTTTAAATACATTGTTAAAGAAATGTGTCTTTTAATTATATCTTTTCATACATTTTATTATTTAATACAATAAATTTAGATCTCATAGAATTATCTACAATTTTATATATTATATAAAAGAATTAAACCATTTGAATAAATTTATTAAAAGTTATATGTTTATTAAATCAAAATATATCTATTATTTCTAATAGAATTTTTTATTAAATTATTTGTATAAAAAAAATAAAAATATTACCATTTTTAGTAGAGACTTCTTTAATATGTTGTTTGGCTAAGTCTAAAATATTATCCAACTAATACCATGGTAATTTTTCTTCACCTATAAATGGGTTTTAATTAATTTTAACAAATTATATATATATATATATATATATATATATGTATGTGTGTGTGTGTGTGTGTATGTCTTGTCCATTCCTTCCAACTAAGATCAAAACTTAGGATCAAGGGGAGCAAAGACCAAAGGAGCTTTAGCCTAAGTTGAAAGAGGGCTAAGGCAAAGAATTAAAATGAAGAAATTAGGTAATATAAAGAAGAGCCAAAACATTATAGCAACATAAATAGTCTCTTGCAACTATAATTGGCATTGATTACATCACTAGTGCCATGCCACTTTAATCCACTACTAATAGCACTAACCTTCTTAGTTATTCACTTTGGCATAAAACATTACATTAATACTATTAATCTTAGATCTACCTTATTTGTTGGCTATGCACATTAGGCGGAGCAAATCTAAGACTAGTACTTTTCATCCATGTGACAAGTTACCGATGTATTAGTTGAGTATTATTCTTTTCAAACTAATATTATTTACAATGTAACAAAAAAGATTTTTAATCAATCTATTCTTTGAAAAAATAAATATCTTATTCTATAATCAAAAGATATGGTTATAAATAATAAATAAATATATATATATATATATATATATATATATATATATTACTTGTACTTCTTTATTTTTTAAATATATAATAACATAAAATAAACTTTATAAGTCATTGAAAAAATAATAATATACTAAAATATTTAAAAGTAATAAAATTTATATTTTTAGTAAGATATTGTTGTAAGATTTGATATAGATCTATTAAAAATCCTATTCATATTTATCTTTTATTTCATATTTTGTATATTGATAATAATATTCATACTACTTTATTGTATATCTTAGATTTTTTTTATATCTTTTTATATTATTTTGATATATTATGGATATATTTATTTTCAATAATTAATATTTATAATATAAAATCAATTATTTTTTTAAAGAATTAAAATTAAATTAATTTATTATGTTGTTTTAAAAAATATTTACATTGGTAGATGTGTTGAATTAATTTTAAAAAAAATTATAAGGTTATTGATGTAAAATGAGCTACAATATTTGAAATAAATAAAACTCAAAATATTTTATTTTATTTAAAGTATATTATAAGCTTTATACATACTTATTACAATATATATTTATTTTACAAATATTTGCTTAATTTATAAAGGGAATTGCAATACTACCATAGTTTTTACTATTGCTACAACTTACTATTGACCATATGTCACCACAATTTTTGCTATTGCTACCACAACCCACCACCCATTCAACTTATTTATTTAGTTTTTTATTTCAATAAAAACAATCACGATTACATTTCTAATATGTTATATTTATTTTATGTTATTATATTTTAAAATTTTATGCTTTATTTTTTTATAGAAAATAAATTTTGTATTAATATTGCATATTTAAAAAAATATTAAGCAAATTTTTTTGTGGCATTAACAACACCCTTTATAAATAGTATTTGTTATCACAAAACATTCAATAATATCAAAGATGCAAATTTAATTTGAGTACAAAAGTATTGCATTACAAATTATCCTTGTGATATAATAAAAAGGCATAGTTTCACATGCTTAAGTCACCTATTATGTAAACAACCTTACACAAATGCTATATATATATATATATACACACCAATTTTCTTTTCATTCAAATAATTGGTTTAAAAAAGCTGCCAATTCTCAAACAGCTTTCGAGTATTTGGAGTAGGTGTTGATAGATTGATGGTGGAAATGGCACTTTTGTCCTTTTGGACAACCCAAAGAAGGTAGGCTCATGAACCTGGCCAGGCAGCTGCGAGTTCAAGATTATCCAAGGAATTTGAATTTACATATCTGACTACAAGACAAGGCTAAACCAGGTTCTATGACCGGTACCATAAGACTTAATTAGAAAATTATTAACAAGAATAATTATCATTTAGTCCATACTGAGCGACAAATTGTGTCTTGCTTGTTGCCGTGTTTGGTTGTTGGAGTTTGTATCTCCACGGTATCTGCAGGGACAACGTGTCCAGCAACGCAGCACACTTATCTCTTCCACACAAAAAGCAATTTCAGTCTTTATATGACGTGCAGGATATCCCGAAGGGGACCCATCGGATCATCAGAGTGTCTAAGTTCAATGTAGTGGTGCCATCACTATGCTCATTTTGCCAGGTGTGAAGGATGTGATTCGGATATATGTGAAGTTTCATCTTGTCCTAGTTCTGCAAGTAATTGCTTTTGATCACAAAATTTCAGTGATTTCTTATTGTAAACATTTAAAAATGGTATAATGCAACAATCCAGTAAAAATCAAAATGAATGGATCCTGAAAAACTCCCAGCTATCATTCCGAACACTTTCAATGTTGCACATTGTAACCCAGAGAAAACCACATCAGCCCCTCAAAGCATCTGCACTCGATGGAAAAACTCTTTTTAATTTCACTCAAGAACAATACCACCACGAGATCAGGAGATGTGATATACACAGCCAGTTACTGAATGTTATCCGACAACAGAGCCAACAGAGGTTCGTGGTAAATGTTAGCATTATCAAGGTATTCACCATAAATGTATGGTCTGAAAGAGTGATCACTGTTGGCCTTGCAGAAAGCTTATTCCACTATCCCAACTAATTTCCAGGGCACCGATACTAGATATTTAACGATCTATCTCTCCTATTGATTGCTTGGATATCCGGTCGTCTGTTAAACCATCTTCGGCATTTGAGCCAATGAATGCATGGGACTTAAAGAACACATTTTTTCATCTTCTCATGGTATAAAAATAGGAATGAAGAGTGGATTGATGTGCTTCAAGGCTGTTGGTGAGAATCAATATAACCGTTGTCCACTAGAACCTTCTCACGTTTAGCTCTCTCCAAATCACCGTCTACCATCATAGCAACCAACTGCTTGAAGTTGACTTTTGGTTGCCAACCCAAACGCTCTCTGGCCTTCTGTGCTGAACCTCTCAAATTATCCACTTCGGAAGGACGGAAATACCTGAAACACACCATGAACAGAAGTAAGACACAAACTGAAACTTGCGATCAATTAGACTATATTATGCGAGCTACCGTGACTTCCAACATGAATATTTGAAGGCAAGAGTGAACTATCATGTATTGTGTAAAACACCATGAATTCAAATTCTATATGAGAAGACAAGATCTGGGAAGAACTAACCTGGGATCGATTTCAACATGATCTCTCCAGTTAAGACCAACGTAACCGAAGGCTTCCTCAAGAAACTCTTCGACAGTATAAGAACTCTCGGTAGCAAGGACATAATCATCTGGCTTCTCCTGCTGCAACATAAGCCACATACCCTCAACGTAATCTCCAGCAAAGCCCCAATCACGAGATGCCTTCAGGTTACCAAGGAAGAGTTTCTTCTGGAGCCCAATCTTAATACGACCAATTGCTCGAGTAATTTTTCTGGTGACAAAGTTCTCTCCTCTGCGTGGTGACTCGTGGTTGAAGAGGATCCCATTACAAGCAAAAAGACCATAGGCCTCTCTGTAGTTCACTGTATAAAAGTGAGCAGCAACCTTAGCAACTGCATAAGGACTGCGAGGATGGAACACGGTGGTCTCGTCCTGGGGAGGAGGAGTGGCACCATACATCTCTGATGATCCGGCTTGATAATACTTCACCTGATGAAAATCAGATGCCAAAGATCAGAAAAATTGCAAAATGAGTTTGAGTTTGAAAGGACAGATCAGCTTATCGAAATAAAATTTTCAACTTCGAATCTCAGTAAGTGTTGTCATGACAATTCTCTCCTCACGGAATGCATCTGAATAAAGTGAAAATATGAATTTTCTTAGAAAGCTTACTTGGCGTCCGGTACTTTGGACATGAATGCGCACAGCTTCAAGAAGCCTTAAAGCGCCAGTGGCAACAACATCAGCTGTGTAATCTGGATTCTCAAAAGAAACACCGACATGAGACTGGGCACCCAAGTTGTAGACCTCATCAGGGCAGATAGTGTCCACCCACTTCCGCAGAGAGGAGGCATCCGAGAGATCACCATAATGCAATTTCATGCGCGCACTAGAGTTGTGGGGATCGATGTAGATATGCTCGAGTCGCTGCGTGTTAAAGTTGGATGATCTTCTAATAATGCCGTGCACTTCGTACCCTTTCTTGAGAAGGAACTCGGTCAAATAAGACCCATCCTGGCCAGTGATACCTGTAATGAGCGCCTTCTTCAGAGGTGCGTCTCCTGGCGCCATAGCTACCAGATCTGAAAAAGCTGCAGCGTAAGAAGAAATTATTAGATGAACACACGCAAGGATTGGCTTCCAAGCCGTCCATTCCAGCTATTTCGAAATCAAGCAAAACCAAACAGATCGTCACAATCCATCAGGTGATTTCTCTGAAGTCACGCATTCCGCAGGCTACTGAATCCCAACACAAATACCTTATCGCAGCGAATTAGCTTTGAGACTTCATTCAAGAACAAAATACTCTAAAAATGCTCCAGAACGTAGATTTGACCCCTACTACATATTTTGTGCAAAACCTCACTTACTCGATAGTTATCACCGATCCACTTCAACAGAGGCGATCTGAGAATTTCCACACAGGTCTTCCCCTTCCCAAGCTCCACACAATGAAATCAGTGAAGCCTCATGACTCAGATGTAGCCCCGAGACAAGATGCGCAGCAATGACACAATAACTCTCACCAGTAGGTTTGTGTGCCATGTTGCTAAAATGAGCCGCCCACCAAAAATAGCTCCCCCAAGTCTTCAGAAGTCACCTTCTTCCAACACCAAAACGTGGGCGAGGGTTGATTCAAGTCTAATCTCGAATGCAGATCCCACACCTTTCAAACCCCACCATAACCAACCCCGAATCACTCGACACCCTTGACGTTTGGAAGTACAATCAACAATTTTGGAAAGATCACATTGATTGAAGGCAAAAGTTGCACCTCACCCGGGACAGAATCACCATTTATCGCTTTAGTAGCATTATAACCCCCCACAGGCTTCCAAGTACGAGTCCAGGACTAAGGGAGGGGCAGGAAACTTCAATCACGATGGCTCCATTGCTGACGAGTACTGTGGAAAGCCAAGATTTACCGCACCATTCTAAATGCGAATACTCTCACCAGTCGGGTAATGACACGCAATTCTCACCAATCGGAAATCGGATGGCATCCAAAAGCAACGGATGGGCTCCGATCGTGCTCGCCAACCTCGTGGTCCTGCTCGCATTTACAGCATCCCCTGCCGCCGAGGAGTGTCAGGAAGTCGTGACGACACCGCGCGTGATGACGCAACAGAAACGGGGGCGGAGTGTGGGAAAAAATGAATCGGTGGGTTGCCTCCGCCCCGCGTCGCGAGGCTTAGCGAATTGATGGCGCGCGATTTGTGCGGTGCCCCGCCGATCTGCGTCGCAGCCTCTGTTTCGGTTGCGGTGTCGATTGCCGGGGCTCCGTTCCTTTCTGAGGCCTCTCGCGGTAAACAGCGCCGCTTGAGCCCGTTCTTGTTCGATCGTTCGTTCGTTCATTCATTCGTTTGCCGTACTTGAGGCACGGCGAACCCTAATTTAGACTTGGAATTCACAAATTTCGAGATTGCAATATTTTATGTGATGTATTTGGCGATGCTCGTTTGGATGAGAAAGTCCTTCTTTTGCCTTGATTGGTAAAATCTTTGCTTTTTTGGGGGGGATTAATTGATAAGAATATGATAAGGCAAGTTTGTCTTCTATGTTGTAGAGTAATTTTTGTTTTATAAGAAGAGTAGTGGATTATCCAATATATAATAATAAATTGATCTTATTTGTGTAATACAAAAATATAATTTTAAGTAATTTTTATTTTTTATAAAAAAATTTATAGGGTAATAAATGGAAAAAAATATGATTAATTTGAAATACATGCTTCTTTAAAATTTTAAACTTATATTACAAACATTAATCAAAAAAATTATGGTTCATTGTTGATTATGCTTATATGATTTTTTTAGGATCTTATTGTAAATATTTATTTTTTTATACAAAATGTGGTTGATATTTTTTAAATATTATAATTAAAAAAATTACTTATGATACATTTAAAGCAATGTCCAAATACAAATGATAAGATAAATAGAACAATTATATATATATATATATATATATATATATATATATATACACTATCCTTTCAATACTTAATTTTTTTTTTGTATTTGTATTTTTTAAATTATTATTATCTCTTATATAAAACAACTTAGAGATGGACAAATCAACGGGATTGTCACAAACACAAATATTTATTCTAATAATTATCTAAATAATGTGAATAGGTAGAACTAGATAAAAGTAGTTTAATTGTCAATCTATTAAGGACAATAATTCAAAAGAAACATAAACAAATGAGATAAGTATCAAAGAGAGATAATAAAATAATAGTAAGAAAGTATATATATTTAAGAAGGAACTAGAATGGCTATTGCCAAAAACTAAAAATCTAGAGACTTTTGAAACTAAATTAGAAGTAAGAAATGAGTTAACAAGAGTGAAGAAGGTTTTATTCTTGCTTTTATATATACTATCTACATAGAAGCTACATGGCAACTTATTGATTACACTTAATCTTCTATTTATATGGATTTTATTATGGATCTTCTAAGTTCAAGTTTATATGACTTTATATTTGTGATCATAGATTGTTTCATTAAGATGGCACATTTTGTAATATATACAAAAAATATTTCAAGTAAAAAAAAAAAAAAAAAAAAACTTTTACTTGATAATATCTATTTTTATCATGGATTGTCAAAAGATATTATATGAGATAGAAGAATACAATTTCTATTAAGATTTTAGAAAATCCTTTTTAAGATATTGAAAGTCGATATAAAACTATCTTTTGCCTTTTATCCCTATACTAATGGGCAAGCAAAACATATGAATCAAGGTTTAGAGTAATATTTAAGGTGTTCCATCAAGTATTATTAAAATGATTAGTCAACTCTTTTGCCATTGGCAAAATTTGTGTACAATAATTCAGTACATTCTTCTATTGAAAAAACACATTTTTTTGCCAATTATAATTATCATCTACAACTTCATAATTTTGACTTTTTTAAAAATTGATAATCCTATAGCAAAAGATTTTTAAAAATTATTCATTAGAGCTACATGCAACTATAAAGGCACAATTAAAAGGAACTTAAGAATGACAAAAAATTTATGCAGATGCCAATCACAAAGAACAACCATAATTCAATATGGATAATAAGGTATGATTACTTTATTGCAATATCAAGACTACTTATCATTGTGACAAATTGGGCTATTGTACGCTTGACACGTTTTCTATTTGTAAACAAGTCAATCTAATTGTTTATTGATTATATCTATCAGAGTCAATGAAGATCCATTATGTATTCCATGTATCTCTTCTTGAACCATACAAAATAGTAAACATATTGAAAAGAAGACAAGTACCACCTCCTCTTATAGAAGTGAATAATAATAAAGAGTTTGAGATAGACAAAGTTTTAGACTCAAGGTAATGTTCAAATAGGTTGAAATATTTTGTACATTAATATAGATATGATATTAATAAATGTATATGGAAGCTAGCTAAGAATCTTTCACATGCAATAAAGAAGGTTGATGCTTTTCATCGACATTATTGATTAAAACGAAGATAAAAAAATAAAGCAATTTCTCACTATAAAAAAAATAAAGGTTGGTAAGGATTACACTTTATTATAGTTTATGGTTTTGCATATTCTTGACATTGAAGATGAAAAATCAACATCCAACAAACTTAACTCATGAGCTATCATTTGCATATTTTATCAAACAAGACACTGTGATTGTTACAACCTTCTAGATAACAAAACAAAGACAAAGATCTTTAAGAATGATATATTCTTCCTCAAATAGATGGCAAGATAAATTGTGTTTGGTATCATGACCTTAGAAGAGACTCAAGATGTTTGGTGATATTACTAGAGATTAAAACTATCTTTTATGGAGTTCCAAATGTTTTATTTGAAAGAAGCTATAAAAGCCTCAATAATGATCAAATTAGATGGTGGTCTTCTTGCCTTAGTATAGGATATTATCAATGGTTGAAATGACATGTTAATTTTTTTTGAAGGTAACAAAGATTAGAGTACATTGTTGTGTTGTGATTTGGCTACTATGTGAAAATAATACACATAAATATTTAATGTACAATTTACTATATAATGTGATAAGAGCCATATTATTAGATTTTAGTTAGTCAAAAAATATGGTTAAATTATTACTTTGAAATGGCTAATTTAAAAGGACTATTATTAAAATTGATTTTATATTGATAATAGTTTTATATATTTAGAGCCACTTTTATTAGATACTAGTGACTTTTGAAATCTTATTTTGTTTCTTTTATTTGGTGTTTAGAGCATATATTATGTAAATCTTATATGAAAAAAGGATTGGAAAGGAATTTTGGTAACAAAAAAGAGTAGTTAGGACATCTATATGGATGAATGGAGATGGATGATGAAATTCTCAATTGCTATTGGCCAAAAGGCATGCCAAATGGGCTTTAAGGAGGTTGTCGAAAGCCTTCTTAGGGATTAGGATTATTCTTTTGAAATCATTCAAATTTAAGAGGCTAGAATTAGAGAGTTTAGGATTTTGACCATGGTTTTGGTGCAAATTTTGGATGATATGCAGTCCTTTCGAGAAAGATATAGGTGCTCAAAATTAGGGTGTGGATTTTATACCTACTGTCACTCTTTTGGACATAACGTATGCATTGAGAATGCAATGAATGATCAATAATTAGGATTGAAGAGGGCATTTTTTTAACTATATTTCTTACGTACTACTTGATGAATTCTAAGCTAGTATAAAATAATTATAGGAAGTTGAAGTCAACACTTGCAATCTATGGACAATAAGTCACCCGATTTACTAATAGTTGTGTTTCAAGCTATATCTTGAACAATTTAATTAGATTTTGGCTAAAAATTTCTAAAAATATGTATTATCATGTTAACAAACTTTATAGATAAGTTTTGTGGCATTTAGAATTTGGATTTTTGAAATATAAAGAAAATAGTGTTCAAGTGCTTATAAATTAGGATTAAAAGTACTTGCTAGGATTTCTAAAATACTAAATAATCTGTAGTAGATTTATGGTTTATTATTTTTATAACAAAGCTTAAGGATATAGCCTACATTATCAAATAAATTGAGAAAAATTGAATGGTTGGATCAAGAGTTATGAATTTCTAACGTTCAAGGAGAAAAAAATCCTTTGGAGAAGAAAAATATTTTGAAGAATTTTTGCCACAATTGGGTATTTTATGCAAAGTAAAGGGATTTTTGAGAGCTAGTACTTTAAATATATATATTAAAGATGGCAATATGGAGCTATGAAAAAATTAGTATATAAAGATGTATATTTGTAAGATGATTATGGATTATCTTTAAGCTTATGAAAAATCAAACTTATCGGCAAATAATTAGTTATGAATTGGTATAACAAAGGTTGTTAGGATATTTTTAAATCCTTTAGAAATCCTTATATATAAAGCTTTTTAAATATAGAAGGATTTTATCATTAAAATATCTTTAGATATTATTATATTTCTTTGGCCTTTATAATAAGAAAACATCACTTTAATATAATTTATTAGAACTTGTCCAATAAGTTTAAACTAGATTCTCTACAGTTAGGTGCCCAATGTATTTTCACATAGAAAATTATACCACATGACAACGTAGCAAATATAATTTGCCACATCTCTGACTTTATCAATATAAGATCACCCTTCTTAGTAGGACTTGTTCCTATGAGGAAGAATAATGTCACAAATACAAATATTTACTCTAATAGTTATCAAAATAGTATGAATAGATAGAAATAAGTAAAAATAGATTAATTTTATAATATCTTATGGACTAACTTTTTAAAAGCTTTATAGATGTAATTTCATCTTTATATATGTCTATAGCTAATTGGTAGGTTAAAAACTTAGCCAACAAATTAGACATATATTGTATATATTGGTAGCTTGTGGTACAAGCTAATAATATAGTGCATATATAAGAAACTTGCCTTATAAGTCAAGACATGTGTTTCTCAAATTAGACATGTATTGAAAATTCTATA